GTGGTTGCAATACTAGCAACTTCGCTTTCGTGCACTGATCGTCCCAAACCCTGCCAATACTTGGACCAAAGACAATTCCCATCCGGGCGCCGAACGAACCTCGGAGGGGCAACTCCCTAGGCAACAGTGCCACCGGCACCACCGGCGCCAGCATCCTCGTTCCAACGAGGACAGTTGTCATAGGTGTGATCCAAACCCAGGCACACCCAGCAACCGCGGAGGGACATCGCCAGTTCAATCTGCGCTTTTGGTAGGTACCCCCCACCAGGCGCTGGCTTGTTAGACAGCGCCAGGTTCACCCGCTGACGCTTCCGTCCCATCACTTGTTGCCATTCGCCCTGGACCACTCGGCCCGCACCGCGACCGGCAGCCTCTGCACCGCGACCTGCGGCGGCTCCTCCTCGGGCACCACGGCCTCGACCCGGGTTAACATTACCCCGGCCTCCCTGTCCACGACCCCCACCTGGACCATTGCGTCCGGCCACACGGCCTGCTGGGCCACCACCACGTCCACCACCCCGGCCACGGCCTCCAGCACCACGGCCCGCACCCGCGTTGGCCGGCTGAATAGGGGCAGCGACGGGCGGCGCCTGGACAGGTCCATCGTGTACTGGAGCGGGTGCCGCCACAGCAGCAGCAAAGGAAGGTGGAGCCTGTAGGGCAGCAGCATGAGAACGTACACGAGCAACGGACTGTTGAACAGCCATGCGAACTGCATGTTGTTTTTCGACCCCCATCGCATGTGCCCGCAACTCGGCATAGACGGTATGCTCTTGGAAATCAGTCGGGCGTACGGCACACTCTTCACGTAAGTATGGCAATAGCTTCTCGCGGAAATGCCAAAGCTTAGTTGGTTCTTGCATATCAGGAATATCCTGAAGTAGCGCTTCAAACCGACCAGCAAACGTAAGGACTGACTCATTAAGCTCTTGTTCAAAGGCAGTGCTATAGAAGGTAGTGCGCGCTACGTGCGTGCGAGAGTACATCTCCGGGGCAAACCTGACCAGGAAGGCGTCCAGCAACTGATCTGGGGTATAGTCAGGAACCGACTTGGTCCATGTAATGTGCCACTCTTTGAAGAATCCCTCCAAAGCCCCACTGATAAACAACTTTTGCGCTGGAATGTTAGCTTGCCAGCCAACAAGAACAAAGTAATCCCGAACATCAGCCACGAATGCACGAATTCGGTCGGGTTCTACGGGTGTTGCAACGGGCAACTTTGGCGCAGGGATGTTACGTACCATCTGCGCATCCGGAAGCTGTGTGACCGCAACAGCTGCTGGCACAGCAACGGGCTGTACGGGGTCTGGCATTGCGCCAGCGGCGGGTGCTCCAGCAATAGGGATTACTGGTTGACCAACAGGTGCGACGGGCACGGGCACAACGGGTGCCAACGGGGGAGCGGCAGCGCCAGCCTCACCCGCTGCAGGGGCAGCAGCAGCAGCAGGCGCAGCTGCGGCATCAGCAACTTGCTGAAAGGGGATATTCAGGTTAACTCCACCTGGTGCGGCAGCATTCTGCGCCGGGCCCCAACCTGCGCCCCATTGCCAACTGGCAAGGTTGAACCCACCTGGGTTCCCTGAGGAGCCTGACGCCATAACGACGTCGAGTGACCCACCGGGGTCGTTTGTTCCGCCTGTCCCGTTCACTACAATACAGTAGGATCTTGCTTACCGGGACAGCTAATCGAACAACTTACTTGCAGTAAGAAGTTACTTACTGGGAGAGATAGTCAGACGTGCGAAATATTCGCACTCCCTATCAATGCGGCCCGGAATGAGGGACTGCCGCTGTCCCATGGACCTATGGTCTCGATACCAAATCTGTAGTGAGTCTGGTTGAGACGCGCCAGAATACAGCGAAATGTAGCAGCGGAAAACAGACCACAATAGGTGATAAAGGTGCGAGGTGGGTGTGACCACGACACCAGTAGTAATAGCAGCGCTAGACTACTCATGCCTACCAGGCATCCGCACCGAATTATATACGATCGGTAACTGGTGACCGTAGCCCTGCGGGACTTCTCTTAACATTCCTTGATAGGATAGGTCGATCGACGCGACTGTATGATTGACGACTGTCACACTTTACACCACCGACAACCTGTCAGTTGATCTCAGTCTCGAACGTTGGAACGTCCGTTCGATATCCAACTGGGATATGCTGGGATTCGTTAATTACATAACCATACTGGTTAGATTGACCAACCATAGGCCACAACACACCTCTGCTTTGTGTGTGTGTGTGTGTGTGTATGCTTTCCTCACTCCCTGGTGATGTGCTCCCTGCGGGCAGCAGGTGTTGGTGGCACCACAGTGTTGTGCAGGTCTCCTACGAGTACTGTCACTACATGCAGGACCGATTCAATGATGCGGGCTGGGGCTGCATGTAATGATCCTGCAGACCATATGCTCGTGGTTCCCTCTGCAGAAGTACACTAGCAAGCCTATCCCGTTGCACAGGTAGAACCTGTACTGCCAGATGCATATGTACTCATGCGTTTGTTGGATAGGGCTAACAAAATAAGACTGGAACCAAGCAATGGCTTGGAGTGTACGGCATACGGTGGCGCTAGGTAACGAGGTAGTGCGAGGGCTTAATTTTATATAAAAATGAAGATTTGAACGGTTGTTGGGAAGCACACCGGGTGGCAAGTATGCAAGATCCGGAGGATCCAGAGGGACGTTGCAGGAGTTGTCGTACTTTTGTATTGCTGTACAATGCCCTTATCATCTCTGTATGCTCTCGTTTTGTGTTCTGGTGGTTTTCCCCTAACCTTGATGTCGTACGAGGGATTTCCGCCTTGGAACTGGCCCCGCTGCGAACGTCCCGGGGCCCTAACTTGGCCCTGGCTTGTGGCTTGCGTTTTACAACGCAATAGAGGTGGATGGGGCAGAGATGCCTAATGTTCCCCAGCCTGACTTTTCTGGACGGACCGATATGGGCAAGTGAGCCCATCCCTGTGTGTCGGCCATGTAGTACCCGCCTGGACAGCACACCTGATGTGCAAGGCTGCTTTCACAGGGCAAATTTCCACCCTACTGTCGTGTTTGCTAATACGCTGCGCTGGGCTCTGTGATACATATTGCAACAGGACCAACAGGATGTGCTGGCCCATCTCGGGGACAAACCCACCAATTTTTGGGGCTCATGCAACTGGATCGGTGCGGTCGAACTGTCGTACATTCTTGACGAGTACCTTGGCATGACTTGAAAGATTCTTACAGTCAGCCGCGGTTCCTACCCCACTTCATCAGCAGTTTGTCCACAATACTTGTATGCATGAATAGGTTCGGGTGGAAACAATTGAGAATCTCTGATACACCGCTAAACTCAGTGCCACAGCTACAATGAAAACAAATGAAAATGCAGATGCCTGTGGAGAAGAATGTGTGCTCCATGTGTGTTCTGTGCCTCAATCCATTGGCGCTCCGTTGGGTGGGGCATGGCCCATGCAGTTGCCCCTGGTACCCATGCAACCAAACACTGACACAAAATGTTGACGTCTGGGCCCATGTAAACCATGACACTTCCGTGTGGTTGGCTACCCACACTCCCCATGTCAGGGGTCCTCCCTCCTGCTGGTGACTCCCAGATTGTCCATGCACAAACGCCAAACGTTGGCACAGAAAACAGACAGGCCACTGCAGTATGGCATCAAACCACGCACAACCCACAGCGGCTTTCAGCAGCAGTACTGCTTGGCCAATGCGACCAGCTGTGTACATCTTTGGAAAAACAGGCTCTGATAGCTTGCGCCACCATGCACCCCAAAAGGCACCCCAAAAGGCGGGTTGACGAACACATTGCCCATCCACGTGTTGCCCTCCAGCAGACCATCGGATTCCATTCGTAATACACTGTCACCCCAATACGTGTGTTAGCAGCCGTGGACGAGCATGGGTCCAGGTTGATCCCGCCAGGAGTGAACACCTTGCACACCAGCTCTATGATACTTAGTAGGGTGAACCACTCCAGGCTCTCACTGGAGAGAAACAGGCGCACATTCACACCCCCTCTGCTTCGAACCATCTGGACTCCTTCACCAGACTCGCTTTCTCTGACATCCATGTCGCCGCTGCTGTTATTGCTGCTGTTGTCGCTGCCAGTCATGGTCGTAGTGCCCCGCAGCAAACAGCTCCTGCCTGTGACCTCCAATGCACATTGCTCAATGAGCCGCCCACTCAGGGGTCGTGACTCAGCTACAGAGCGTGCCACAGCAAGGCGCCATGCCCCTAGCGCATCACAAGGTGGCAGAGCTGTAAGTGGTCGGACCTGGTGCTCAATGTTAGGCATAACGTCTGTGGCAGAAAGCAACCGCAAAAAGCGAGCAGCTGCTACCAAAGCCTGTGCATATCTCGGTGCAATGTCAAGTCTTCCCGATTCAGACACATACTGCACGAACGACTCGAATCCCAGGCAACTATACAGGCGCCTGTCTTGAATATCCAGCAACGAGTTGGCAATCTGTCGAAACTGTGAACCGCAACCCCGAACAAGCTGCTTTGCTCTCAAGAGTGGACTTACAGTCATACCCAATGATTTGTAAACATGGACCCAAGGGTCGGCTATCTATTTCTTGCGCCAGGGCCAAATTAAGTCAAATAATCTGTTATCCACATTGGTAAAGAACAGATCTGAGCGACAATGTTTGCGCATCCAGTAAGCTTTTCCGAAATGGAACCATTCTTTGAAGGTACTTGCTTGCTTCGCTATGAGGCAGTGCAATACCAAATTATCTGAAGATAGCCTGACGAGAACATGTTGTGCTGAAGAATATGTGTCAAAGCAAGGGCTGTCCGGTGACGGGTTTGCAGTACCCAAGAGGCCGATACGCTCCTTTCTTGAGCCAATCCTTACGTATGTCAGTACAAATATGCTCCTTTTATACAATGACACACTCCCTTTTCATGTCTTATCAATACCGCTAGAGGTGTTGCATAATGCTAATTTTTGGTACCCGAAAAGCTTCCATCCTTCTATCATAAAGCCCATAGGACATGGCGGTGCTAGATCTGCCACCAACGCTTGATCAGGTTGCGCAGCTTCAGGCGCGCATGCTCGAGGCTTTGCAAGGGGGGGCCGCTCAGCTAAAGACCGTCCTCCCAGCAGAACAACTCGTTGCAATCTTACGGGCCACAGAGGCTGAGCTGAGACAGGAACCAAGCCTAGTCGAAATTTCCGTTGAGGAACCTCACGTTCAAGTGTTCGTCTTTGGCGATACTCATGGACACTTTCCTGATGTGGCACATATGTAAGGGTATTTGTGTAAATGTCGCCCAGTGCAAATTTTGCTCTGGAGCTGAGGACGGCGGCTCGGCGTCTGTTCCTCTTCTGCAGGCTAAAGGAGATCGGATACCCATCACCAACCCGCGTTCTGGTGTTTAACGGCGATTACGTGGACCGTGGCAGCTGGGGCGTTGAGCTTCTCACGCTGTTGTGTTGCCTGAAGTGTGCTGCGCCTAACTCTGTGTACCTATTGCGAGGTAACCACGAAAGCAGCAGCTGTACCAAATGGTATGGGTATAGCCAGGAAGTCCGTGCCAAGTACGACAAACAGTCCAAGGTAAGCCAGTCAACCTATCCCGGGTTCTGTAAAGGCGAAGGATTACCTCCATGCGGCGTCCCCCTCGGGTGCCTTCCAAGCTTATGAGATGTCGCCTTCCGGTTGTAACACCCTGCCCGTCCCCTGGATTGCCACTAACAGAAGTTTAACTCTCATCTCCAAAACACGCCCTGACAGGAGGTGTATTCGGCCTCCAAGAAGCTCTTCTCTGTGATGCCGCTAGCAGCGCTGGTCCAGAGGAACACCCTAGTCATGCATGGAGGTACGACGGCGGCTTGGCATGGCCGGGGACTGGCGCCACGGGCGTCTGCCCTCGTGTGTACACACCTTGCGGCCACATGGACTGCCTGCGGGATGAATATGTTGGATGTAGTGCTGCGGCGACTTTCTCTGCTTCGTTGAGGTCGCTCGTGAACTCTCTCCCGCGCGTCTTTAATTGCGTCGCGCCGTTGCGTTGCAGGGCTTTTTCGGAAGCCGCCAGAGCCCCGGCGGGGGGCAAAGCGACGGAAGCCGGGGCATCTGGGTCGTCCTGGTGGACCCTCGGCCCTGGAGCCCGGGACGTTGGATCACCTGCGCCATGCCAACAAGGGCGGGATGGATCCAGACGGTGGGTTGCGAGTTGACGTGGGGTTAAGGAGAACAACGAAACCGGGGTGGTGCTGGCAATAGCGGGCCATGGACTCGGAAGGAGTGATACGGATGCCGCCACTTGTGGAGAGCTCTCTGGCTGCCAACGATGGCTGGCAGGGGAGACAAAAGCATCAGAGGCCGTGCCTGCTTTCTCCCCGCTTAAGTTCTATGGACAGGCTCACAGGCTTATTGGCCTCCTCTTGAGCCCATTCGTAAGGTTCTGACGCAACTATAGGTCCAAGTGTCTGGTTAAACGATATGTTGCGGCATGCAGCCATGCCTTCCTCCTAGCAGTCGAAAGCATGGGTTGAAGCTTAAATGGCCATCCAGGTTTCGCAAGTGGCAGTCATGGTAGTAGTGGTTTTCTCTTTCCACGTCGGCACCAGCCCTGCGAATCCAGAGAGATCTGCAATTCGTGTCCCTTATATGTCGGGTTGGTGAACAGACTCGATCTGTTGCCTTCCTCTTGAGCCCCTTCGCGGGGGCCTTGATGCGACTCGTATGTCTCTCGTACGACCAACATGAACGAAAGGAAGTCCGGGGCTTTGTGAATAGATCTTTACAGGTTTTGGATGTGCGAGCATGTGGCAGTATTTTTGCCAGCACAGTACGCACTGTGCAAGCTATTGCCGCTGTATGTTGGGCCAACAGACCTACAGATTACCAAGCATCGGAAACCTTTGGACAGTCAGGGGAACACGACATGAGTATGTCCATATACCCAACGACGCGAACCAGACAGTTGTTCAGTGCTGCTTTTGTTCAGTGCTGCGAGTATGCACTCATGTGTCGAGCGTATTAGGTAAAAGGTACGTATGGCGTGCGTTCGTGCACACCGACGACGTCTCCCTGCAGCACCACTTCTAGCCAGCTGCGTTCCCTCATGGGCACCCTCATGGAAAGGAGCGGGCAGCCCAAGGATGTGTTTCGTGGCAGCCACGCCAGTCACCTGTGTGCCGCCGTTGTCCGTTGGGTTGATGAATGAACATGATCGTATTATTGAGCCCCTTCGTGGGGGCCTTGATACAACAGATATACCCAAGTCTCTGACCAACATGGACACGGCACCGGCCAATGCGTATCAGGATTGCGGTGGCAAGGCGAAGACACCCAGATGGCCTGGCCTTGCATGGGCGCCTATTTCCCCCAGGCGTCGGCTCGTCGCTTGTGGCGACGGACGTGCTCTGGAGCGACCCCGTTGCGGCCCCTGGCTTTTTCGAAAACGATGCTCGAGGCGTAGGCCTAGTCTTCGGGCCTGACATCACTGAGGTGGGCTGCACCGGCGGAAGGTGTGCGGAAGATGCGGGCAAGCATTGCATTACAGTGCATGCATTACAAGGGACCGACTTAGCGCGTTGGCGATAGGGGTTGGACAGTAATCCAATGGCGGGGTTCAGGACGAGCCTAGGTTTCGCATGCTAGAGCTGCTTGCACAGGTGCTGACATGTGCATCCCTGCTGCTATCGCCTTAATCCCCGGCACGGTATCGTGGTCAATAGCCGCGGCCGATGGGTTGCTCTGCTGGTACGCTCTGCCACAGGCTTTGGCAGGCTTGGAACTCTTGTGCAGTGGACCACACGCATTCGCATTCCTCTCGGACTGTGCCCTATCCTGCAGGCTTTCTTGAGGGCTAACGGCCTGAGACTCATCATTCGGTCTCACGAGGGACCTGATGCGCGCGATAAGCGGTCGGATCTGCCGCAGGTCCTGCAGGGTTACAGCTTTGATCACAACACGCCGGGTAGGCCTTGGGGACTGTGCTATCGGGTTCTACACACAACCACACACACATACATACATACATACATACATACATACATACATACATACATACATACATACATACATATCTACATACATATATATATACATACATATATACATACATATATACATACATATATATACATACATATATACATTGTGTGCTCCCGACCCTTGCGCTGTGTTTCGGCTTCGGCCCCCGGCTCTCGCGGCCCACAGTGTAATCTAAGTCATACATTGTAATTGAAGGCTGAATGTCGACAGTTTTGACTTGGAAACCTTCGCAGAGGTGCACCTGAGCTTATTGAGCAATAAGAGTTTATTCGAACAGTACTCGAGACGGTGTTGTGGCAACGTACGCCCAGTACCACCGGTCCACAGAGATATTTCCTTCAATTCTGTGTCCACGGCGAACGGGGTTTTGTCGGCACGAATAGGTTTCCGTTGACCAGACCCACATACCTACCCTCCTTCCTTGCATGCCCTCGGTGTGCAGCTGGCCAGTTGGTGACCGTCTTCTCCGCGCCGGACTACCCGCAATTCCAGGTGGTTGCGGAGGAAGGGGAGGAGGCTGGTAAGAGGTTCAATAACTTGGCGGCTGTGGCGGTGTTAAGTGCCCCGGACTACGCCACACCGAACATGCGGACCTTTGCGGCGGTCACCCCGCGACCCAAGGTGCGCGTGAGTTTACGTGCCGTTTACCCAATTTACCAAGTGCGTTGGTAGAGCGGGAAGGGGTCGCGCAACGTAACAAGGAGCCCCAAGACATGGTCCAAGGAAATCCAGTCCGCCTGGGAGTTCCATGTACTCGACACACTGCTCCTGTAAGGCCTGAACACGCCTTGCGAAAGGGTGGTCCTGCTATCCTTACTCGCTCACCCGAATAGGTCATCGTTTGATGCCTTTCCGCTTGCCTGGGCTTGTCCTTTCCGATGCATCCTCCCTTTCCGCTTGCCTGGGCTTGTCCTTTCCGATGCATCCTCCCTTTCCGCTTGCCTGGGCTTGTCCTTTCCGATGCATCCTCCCTTTCCGCTTGCCTGGGCTTGTCCTTTCCGATGCATCCTCCCTTTCCGCTTGCCTGGGCTTGTCCTTTCCGATGCATCCTCCCTTTCCGCTTGCCTGGGCTTGTCCTTTCCGATGCATCCTCGCTTTACGATTCCCTGGGAGAAGCTAATGGCTGGGACTATAATGTGAAACGCGTTGCATAAAACCTGTTTCAGACTTAAGGTACATCACATATGTTCTAAATTATGGCCACGCAGATGTGTGTGTGTGCGTGTACAATATGAAAGGGCTTGGAATGCGTCACTTTCCGGGCGCTTGTAGGGCCAAGGGGCTTGCTGCGCGTCACCATGTGGGAAATACTGGCAGATAGCATCGATTCTGGCGAAAAGACAGCTGTTGTCTGAATCTCTGCAAATCCGAGTAAAAATGCAGCTTTAGTGGGGGCTGCCGATGTGCCGTTCTGTGAAGTATTAGGGTTGTGCAGCTGTTGCCGGCGCATGGCATCCTTTCCATCTATGTCCAGGCACTCGAGACAGGTGTTTCCTGGGCCTTTGCCAACTCCTGCCGTGTTCACCATCTGTTCCATTGTCCAGGCGGACGCCTACTACGACTTCGCGGCGTGCTGTGACAGCGACGCAGATGTGCAAGAGGGCAGTGAGGGCGGCAGCGCGTGCAGTAGCGCGGTGGCCAGCGAGACAGAGCTGGGAGTGGATGAGGCGGAGGGGGCGCCCGCGTCACTGAGCGGTGAAATGGCAGATACCAAGTCCCTGGAGGTGCATGAAGACCTCCCGCCATCGCTCGATGCGGTGTCACCGTCGGTGCCCATGGCGGAGGTCGAGGTGGTGGCGCAATCGGCTCCAATGGCGGAGGCCGAGTTGGCCCCGCCTTCCGCGCCACCTGCGGAAAAGCTCCAGGTGGAGGCGCTTCTTACAACCAACCATGCCGATGCCATGGAGGTCGAGGAGCAAAGCCAGAGGCCCGGGCCTATTGCTGACGGGTCTATTCAGGAGGGCGGCGAAACGAGCCATGAAGCCGCCATTGCGGCAACTGCCTACCCATTAAGTGGTTGTGGCGCTGTCGGTGATGGGACCGCCGGAGCGGCTGGAGCTGGCACAGACTTGAGTGTCTCTGTATGTCAGCACACCGATGACCAGGATGACGGGGATGTTTTAGAAGGGCCAAGTCCACTCGAGGCCCCTGCAGCTACCGCATGCGATGCGAGCGACACGGATATGGTCGTTTCCGCGAACACCCCTGCGGCCGAGGCCCGGTAGTATGTGCATTGGGGGAAGGCAGTCTCGCCAAGGAAACATCGTGGAAGAGATGGTTACGGGCAGCTATTAGTCGTGAGCGTTATCAGCATTGGTGTTACATTCTCGCGTGTTGCCTTGGAGCCAGATTAGTAGACCAGCTGTTAGAAAGGATGGCTAGGTAGGTCGTGTAAATGCCTCTTTGTCGTGTGATGACGCTTGGCATCGGCGGCTCTATTTCTTTTGCGGTATGTTGGGTATGAGGAATTCTATCTCCCCTGCGCAGATCCCTGGTGCAGTTCTTAGGTTAGGATGTTGATTCGCATTTGGAGCGAGGTAGCGCGCCCAACTGCCATGTGTGTCTGCGTTGAGGCAGAGCTATGTTTGATCTGTACGATTAAGCTTGTTTTTTTTTACGACTACTGCTCTCTTCCCAATATCTTTGGCTGTTTCTTCCAGAGAGCACTTTTGGATGGCCTTTTAATTCCGGCACATGGGCCATGTGTTCGCATGCTTGTATCCCTGGGCAAGTACGACACAAGATCCCTTTTGGCTTGGCTCTACACCGTTATGCTTCGGTTGGCGGAGCTGCGTTAGGCCTCGCGCTGTCCAAACAGCCGTGCTACCATCAAAAGGTTGAGGACGATGGGTAATGTGTGCCCTGACGCATAGGCAGTAAGGCACCGCACTTCAACCGGTGGACCTCTCCTGTGACGGCTGTCTCAGCAAAAAGCCTGAAACCGGGGGCAGAAGTGGAGTTCCTCAGGCTCAACCTACCTGCAGCCGGGTTACGGTAGCCTCAGCCCCGGGGTGGAAGGGCAAGGGGAAGCATATTTTCCTATCGACCGGTTTGTTTGATGCTCTTGTCCATCGAGCGGTTTTGCCGTCAGCACATCACATCCAGCAAGAAGGCGTTTCAACCCCACGTGTACGACACGCATCGCTGTTGCCTTGGATGAAGATTCTAGCTAGCAGCGGTTGGTGATCCATGACCTGCATTTATTGCTCTAACAATTGCTTGCGTGATATTGGAGCAATGGTGATATACAAGTGAACACAGCTGTTGCAAATTCCAACGTAGACGCTATAGTTAGCATAACGAACGATTTCATACGAGCTGGCAAAATGCTTCTGTGATTAATCCTTAAGACGTGACTTTTGCCCTTGCAAAGAGAATGGATGTCTGGCGAAACCTAGAGCAGCTTAAAGCTGCTGTGCAGGAAGGCGTGAAGGAATTTTCTAATGTTGCTATCAATGAAGTACGCACAGGCGTTCAGACCATTCAGGTATGCGGGTGCTTCCTCAACTGGTGACCGAGTTGCATACACACTCTCACCGGCCCGAACGCTTTCGGTTACAGCAACAAGCAGCTCATCAACAGTTTGGACAACATGAGGACAGGTGCGCGAAGTGGCAATTGCTTGGATTGTGCGTCTCTTACTCGATTACTCCTCTATCGGCATTCCTACTTGTAGGTGGGGAGGGGAAGATGGAATTGATGGTGGCATCGCCCCTCCCCCTCTTGATGCAAGCCCTGCCTATCGGGACGAGGCGTCCAACGAAAGCAAAGCACAGGACGACGGAGTTCAGTTCAGCGGGTTTTCGTCGTTGCCTGAGGCAGCTGCTTCCCAAGGCGATGGTGCTGCTGGCAGCCGTGATGTGACACGGCAGGAGGCTGATCCTGGCAGCATCAGCAAAGTCCCTCGCCGCGGTGCAAATCCTTCCACGTCGATTCACCCGTCCTCAGACAGGCCTAATGGCCGCCCGGCAGCGTCCATGCCTTCCGTGACCGCCCTGCAGGCCACCGGCCCGTCAGGTCGGTGCGCAGTGGAAAGCCCCGCCCGCTCCCCACCAGTATCCTGCCTGCCGCCTGCGGGTTGGCAATTACTGTGCAGCTCACCCGGTAACACTTCCTTTCGGGGGAATCCGCTTCGCAGGTGCATCCCCGGTGGTGGAAGAAGCGGCGGTAGCCACCCAGAACGGCGTCAACCAGCGCCGGGTCGAGCGTGAGGTGAGAATGCAGTCAAGAGTGCCGAGTCTGCGCCTGGGGCCATCGCCTGCTGCTGCTGCTGCTGCTACGACTGCTGTTTAACACACGGTAGCCTCTTCCCCCTGCCGGCATCTCCTGGCAGCAGCAGCAGCAGCATTTCTCTGCACAGCCAGTTCTTGTTGTGTGGCACCTCCAGCCGTTCAGATCAGGGAGTCATGACACTGCTCTCCGGGCCATTGCAGACTCAACCGCCCGTCTATGCTTTCCACCTTCCCCAACCCATGTGTCACATCGCAGCAGGGCGCTGGTGGCAGCCTCGCAGCGGGCTCAACCGCTGACGCAGCATCTGCCAGCGCTGCCGATTCATCCTCGTACGCCTTTAACACCCGCTCTCGTACGGCAAGGACTGCGGAGGCCATTTCATCAGAGGCAGCCGCTGGTGCACCCGCCGCCAGAACGCCTTCCGTTAGCGGCGTGACGGCTGGTGCTTCCCGGGTATCCCAAGGACAGGGGCAGGGGCAGGGACAGGGGCAGATCCCTGGCGAATCATCCGGGTCCGGGTCTGCGGAAGGAGCTGCAGCGCCGTCGTCGACTTCAGCTTCTGCGGCAGACCCGTCCTCCCGACCCGGCGGCCCGCCAGGGGGTCCATCGCCGTCGACGACGACGACTGGCGAACCCGCCGCGGCTCCTGCCACCGCCGCGGAAAGTACGCGAGGTAGCGGAGGGGGAGGCAGCAGTAACAGCACCAATAACAGTAACCACATCATCAACAACAATGGCCGGCCGCCATTACCGCTCGCGACTGTGCCCACGACGGCGTCCCCATCTGGCGGCGCCCAGGCTCGGGACAGCGGCAGGCGTGTGAGCGGCGGCGGGGCGGCAGCGGGAGACACAGTGCCTGGGTCTGTGGTGGGGCGGAATGTAGTCGAGAGCGACGCAGACCTCCGCAAAGCGTACGCGGACATGAAAAAGGTACGCGGGGCATGTGGGCGCATGTGGGATTTGCTTACATGTTGTAAGGGTGTGTGCTCATTCAAAGTTGGACCGCAATGGTCAGCGACAGGGTGTTGGGCTGGTCAGGAACTGAGTGGCTACTGAGTGCCACTTTCCGGTATGGGGTGGCGCCCCGCCGGCGGGAGGGTCCTCAACCACGTCTGTTTAATGCTGAAGCTTGGGAAGTGGCGAGGCGCTGGCCTTCTGGTTGGTTGGGTGCAAGTGATCCAACTGAAATCGTGCCACTCTTGGTTTGGCCTAGGGGGCCTTAAGAGCTATCCGCTGTCAGGAGTTGAACGTTTGCATGACGGCAAGGAGGGAGGCGCTGCTGGCGCGCGTGGGCTTTAGCAGGAATGACTGTAGTGATTGCAGCAGCAAAGGCGGTGCGGCTGGATGCGGCGAAAAGGACGGGCACCTTTTGGAGACCCAGCTATGGCAGCGGTGGCCACCTGCTAGGATTGTTGAATCCAAGCCAAAGAGGCCCTGCACCTGCTTGCGTTGACTTGCCTATGTGGACATGTGCCTTTTCCTGCCGGTCACCGTCAGGCTTACGACGACATGAAGGAGCTGCTAAAGAAGAGTATGGACGAGTGCGTGCGGCTCTCGGAGGAGGTGGTCAGGTGGGTGAGGGGTCCTAGGGGCTCTTACGGGGAGAGGGGCACCGTCCATGTGGTTGCCAGGTGGGGGGCCAGGGGGTGCAGTGGTGGATGCAATGGTGGGTGCAATGGTGGGTGCAATGGAAGGTTCCTCCAATCCTCTCGAGGAAAAAGGCAGCCCGGGGTAGTCCAACCGGCCGTCCAACCTCCCCAAGGGTCTCAACCTCCCCAAGGGAGGGGGGTGCATCATCACCAACAATAGGGTCCGTTGTGTTCTTTTCACGAAGGGGGGAAAAGGGGGGACTTTGGTTTACCAGTTTAGGTAAAGGGAAGGGAGGACGCAATGCTGGGTGGGGCCGCGCACTTGCCCCAGGGTTTCTATTCCATTGGTTGGCTATGACCGCATTGGTGCATCCTTTGCATCCGCCCGGGATGCCAGGCAGCCGACTTGTAAGCCTCGGGCAACCCGGGGGCTCCAGCCACTCGCCCGCTGGAGTACACCCATGTCCCTCCTGCATTGCCATGTGTCTGTCGCCGTGCCTCGTCTTTACTGGAAAGCTGTCCGTCGTCCACCCTGACCTGTCCGATCCGATCGCCCACACGCGTCTTTAGGATGGAGGGTGCGGCCCGTCAGGCTCAGAGTCAGGCCGGGGAGCAGGCCGCTGCTGCCCGAGCGGCCAAGAAGGAAGCGGCAGACGCCAACGTGGCGCTGACGGCAGCTCGCAAGGAGGCGGCGGCGGCTGAGAGGTCCCTGGCCAAGGTGAAGGCGCAGCTAGAAGCCAAGGAGCAGCAAGAGAACAGCAAGGTGCGGATGCCGGGGCCCCCGGGAGTCGAGAGGAGGTCGGCTGGTCTGAACAGGTTACGGTTACGTGCTTGGAGTGATTGATGATCTGTAGTGAATCCAAACTGGGGTCGTTATGAAGGCAGAGGCTGCGGTGTGCCCTGCCGTGGTTTGCGGCGCTTGTCATGTCTGGGGAGGAAAGGGCGTCAAGAGGGACTGCTGGGTGCGCAATGTTAGGGTAGGAGGTAAGGGATCGAGATTGCGGACGTATCTGTATGTCTGTATGTCTGTATGTCTGTATCCACGGATAGGACACGCATGCACCACCATGAGGTAATTGTGCCGCCCGGCGGTTGGTCAGGTTGGTCCTTCCTCGCCACACTGCTGCCTGGCCCTGCAATTCCCAATCACCCGATCACCCGGTCACCCACCCGTAACCTGGCACGTCAGCCCGGTGCGTCTGCAACCTATTCCTTGCACTCCCCGTTGCCGTCCGGGCTGTCCAGGCTGCCGAGACGGCTGAGCTGGATGTGCTCCGCGGGGAGCTGGCTGCGGCAGTGCGCAAGGCTATGGCTGCAGTGACAGCCAAGGAGGCGGCGGAGGCGAGGGCGGCGCAGGCGGAGGCGGCGCGGCAGGAGGCGGAGCAGGCGCGCAACGAGGCAGACCGGCTGCGGAGGGAGGCGGAGGTGGGGCGGGTAGACTGGGGGGAGCCCGGGTGCACAGCGGGAGGGGAGGTTGGGATGCGCCGTTGGGGCCAGTTGTTGGCCATTTAAGGGGAAAGAGGGACTTGGAATGAGGCGGAAGGCATCTTCCTTGCTCAGATTTGTATGCTCTCTTGCATCTTGCTTCAAAACGGACCTGGACCGGTGCACCAAGTGCGGCTCTGCTGCAGCGGCCCTCCTCTGCTGCCGGTCTCCCCGCGGCTAATCGACACATCCTGATGCATCCCCGAACCATCAGGCCGAGGCCCAGGCCGCACTGGCCGCTGCTGAGGCGGAGCGCAGCAGCCGCGCCGAGGCCCAGGGCATGAGTGAGGCGCTCAAGGCGGAGAGCGAGCGACGTGCTCGGGTGTTCAACAACGCCGTAAAGGCGGCGGTGGGGCGGGTGCAACGGGAGCTGGAGGCGGAGCGGGACGAGCTTCAGGTGCGAGGTAGCGATTTGGGAGCAGGGGGGCTGGACAAGATCTAGGGAGATGGAGACGCGGGGGTGGGGGCCCAGCGAATATGAGGAAGGCAGCGGTGAGCAATAGGGTTTCGCTTGCCGCTTACTCGCATTGACGTGGTGTGCGGTGTGGTGTGGTGTGGTGTGTGCAACAACACAACGAATACATACCGTATCACTCTGGACACCGGCACGATTGGGGCCGCCGCACACCCCCATCACCCCTACTTTACCTCTGCGTCCCCGCAGGCCCAGCTGCGAGCCGCCCACCGGACCCTGGAGGGGACGAAGGAGGAGCTGAGGCTGGCCATGGCGGCGGCGGAGGAGGCAGTCGCTGAGGCGGAGGCGCGCACCCGGGACGCCACAGCTGCTGGCACGCTGGCGGTGGCCGCGGAGGCAGCTGCAGAGCGGGCGGTAGCACGGGAGGCGGAGGCCACCGCGGCTGCCCAGGCAGCGGAGGCGGCCCGGCAACAGCTGCAAGCCGAGCTGGAGCAGGTCAAATTTGACAAGCAGGAGGTACGAGCAGGGGGGCAACGGGTGGGTACAGTACTGAGGTCCATCAACCATCCATCCATCTATCTGCTCTTTTTGTCCTATGCACCTCTAATCCAAGGAAAGCTATCCACCTCACAGCTCTCTCAATCCCTGTGTACCCGCCTGCCTGGCGCCGGTCCCGCCACGGACCATCCTTCCCAACCCGCAGTCCGACGCGCGCGTCCGCGTTCTGGACTCGGCGCTGACGTCTCTGCGCGCGGAGGCCGAGCGCGAGCGCTCCTCCGCGGCCGCCACCCTGTCCGAGATGGAGCGGGAGCTGAGACGTCAGGCGGAGCGGGCGGAGGCGGCCACCTCGGCACTGGCTGGGGTGGAGAAGCATCTGGAGGGGGTCATCGCTGCACGTAGGTCGGGAGGGGAGTGGGCCGGAAGGCTCCGGAAGGCTTCGGGTTTTGGGGAGTGGGCCGGAAGGCTCCTGCTGCTTCCTTTGTGACTCAGCTTACTTTGCCTGCATGTGCTCGCGGACGTCTGGGGGACATGAGGACGTGGTTTACCTGGAATGGGCATTGGTGGGGCCGTTAGGTAGGGAGCTGGGGGGCGGCTGGAGGCTTGCCAGGTGCGCCGAAGGGCGCCGGGAAATGAGGTAGTGCGTGAGAGGGAAGTAGGCGGTAGTAGGACGGAGGCGGCGGTCCGGGGGGAGGGTAGCTGGGCGACGGCTCTCAGTCGGGGGGGTGAACTGCAACGTCTACGTAGGGAGCTAGCTAGCGTGCCCGCCCGTCCGGGGCTGAGGCAAACAGGGCTGGTCCAAACACCGCCGCCACCACCGTCGCCACCACAACGACAATCACGATCTCCGTGATTGCAGACATGCACAGCTCCCAAAGCCCCTTGCTTCCGTGCCACCAAATGGCTTTCAAATGTCTGTTTACTGCGTCGCTCACTGCTGCTGCTGCTGCTGCTGCGGCTGCTGCTGCCGGCCTCATACAGAGCGGGACACCGCGGAGAAGGCGGCTGCCGATGTTGCCGCGGCCATGCGGCGGGTCGAGGAACTGGAGGGGGAGATTGCCACCCTACGCACCAGCAGCAAGGCAGTCATGTCGCTGTTCCAGCTGCCGACCAAAGAGGACGTGCTGGCGGGTGGGTGGAGGAAATGGGAAGAGGAAACTTCCCAACCATATGGGTGCTTTCTTTAGGAAAACCCAGATAGCCGTGCCTACCCGTGTATCCGTGCATCATGCCCAAACAATAATTTTACCGTGCAGGCAGCATCATACAGTCACTGGCTCTCCCCGTTGTCCGTCATTCCCGTGTCTATGGTCTCCTTGGCCTCCTACTGCACCAACCCCTCGGCCTTCACGCAGGTCTGGGACTGGAGATGTGGAAGGACGACCGACTGCGCTGGAAGAGCGAGGACGTGGAGACGCCCCTTCCCAGCGCCCCGCGGCCTCGTGCACCGGCGGACAAGGACCGCGGCACAGGGGGTCCGGGTGGCGCACTGCGCCGCGCCACGGGCCACATCTCCCTGCGCGTGTGGCTGATGATTGGGTACTTGCTGATGCTGCACGTGGCTGTGATGGTGTCGTTCACGCGGAACGCTCCTGATGTGGCCAGTCTGTGTGGCAGTGCGGATGCCATCAAGGCGGTGGCGGAGCACAAGGTGTTGCCGGCGGCGTGAAGAAGGCGAACCTGCTCGAGTGAGTGGCGCTGTGGAGGAGGAGGCGGATGCGGATGGTACAGCACCATGTTGGAAACGTGCATGTGGGAACCAGGTTGGTGTACTAGTATGCGGCCTTGAGGGAGGTAAAGTTACGTCGTGGTTCCTTGCACTCTAGGCAATTTACAGGTTTCGCTTTGCTTGCTTGGCACAAAGCAGGTTACTGCCTTCTATTCAGGGGTAAACAGCGGTGGTCTGGCTGAGGTGATAAGGGGGGGTTAAGGCGGGCGAACTCAGTGGGAGGTTGGGACAACAGGGGCTTAGTATATCTTGTTGGGGCTTTGGCTCGGCATGTTTGCACATGGGCTCCTGGTGAGATGTGCGAGGGTGTGGGCATGTGGGGTGGGAGATGCAGGAGGACAGAATCGTGGAGGGAAAGGTGTATTGGTTAAACTGGTTAAACTGGCGAGGCAGGCGGCTCTAGCCATGTACTATATGGGCTGAGCTGTCTAGACATACTGGGCGACGCAGGAATCACTTTCCTGACAGGTGACCGTAGCTGTCCGGCCCACTGGCCGGAGGGGAACGTAAGAATGCAGAGTTTGTGATCTAGCCTGGTGATTTCCGTTTGTCGCGCGCTGCACCGAGTTCTCAGCTTTTCCTTTGCTGTGCCTGGCGGGCCGTTACGAACAGGTGCATGGTGAAGGTTTGCTTTTTAAGCGGTAGTCATAGAGTTCTTGGTGCATTACAGCTCACTGAGCGCCACACCGTGCATGCGGTGTTGGGGCAACTGGCCGTGTGCAGGCGAGCCCCGGGCGGCACCCAGGGCTGCACCAAAAACAGACGGAATGCACTGGGAGGGGTGGAAAGGGGGGGTTAAAGAAGGCGGATTACGCCATCGTTCACCTCAGCACATCGACACGTGCTGGTGGTGTCAGGATAGGCCATGGCGGGTTTTGACTAGGTGTGGCACCCATGTCGCTTAGGCTGGCGCACTGGTTCTTGACTAACGAACAGGCTATGAAACACCAGAAGCAGATGTGGCGGCAGGGATGGACAGTGCAGGACAGTACTGTTGGGGCTTTGTGACTATGCGCTTTGGATTTTTTGAGTAATTATGCAACTATCCTTGCTTACCCGCCTGTGCCTTGCCTTGTGCTATTCACCGTACTATCAAGGGACATATGAGTCCAAACCGATGTGGAACCACTGGTGTTCCGGTGTAATTGCCCGCACAGACCCACTGAAAGAACAAACATCTCCGAACGGCGCGGAACGTGTCATGTCGTTAACCATAGGTGCTGGCCTCTGGTGCGAGAGAAATGAAGGATCCATTGTGGATGTGAAAGGTGTGAGACGCAGACCCAATAGCCCCTAACATCGTGGACCAGATTCACAACACCTCGGTTTACTAGTGACCCCCGTCATGTCTGAAGCCAGTAACCAGTTCTCACGTATTGCGTGCCTATGTATGCTTCCCTAGCTGGCTACAGCCTCAGCAGCGACCGCAGCAGGAGGTAGCCCATATGATATTCTTGCTGCGAAATGGCGAAGCTGCCACCCTTCCACTGCCGTTGCTGCAGCAGACTCCTGGGCACCGCTAATGTGGGGCCCCTTCCAGTTGCCCCTGCACTGTATCAGGGATGGTAGGTTAGTGCAGCGAGCACTGTGACTTATACAGCAGGACAGGAGACCTGTTATGACCCAAGAGGGTAAATCTGTGCCATGTCTCAGCAGCACTGCTTTGTGGCTGTGCAATCTAGTCAACTCACTCGGCCCCCAGTATTGTTGGCCAAAGCCATGCTGTAAGGCCCTGAAGTGATGTTGTGGTGCGCCGTCATGTAGGTTTTTCCAGGTGCTGTCCACCACCCCCATTCGTGATGGCCAGCCGCACGAAGTCGTGGTGTCATGAGCTGTGTGTCTGACCAACTCGCTGTACCGTTTTTGCCGTACATCCAGCGCCTCCCAGCGATGCGCGGTTGGTCGCTAAGGGCTTTGTGCAAGTTGAAGGCCGGGACTATGAAGAGGTCTGGACTCCTGCCAGCACACCACGTTGCAGGCGCTCGTGTTTATTGCCGCGGCTGGAGCTGCAACAGTGGGACGTGAAGACCGCGTTCCTGGATTATGTGTTGGAGGAAACGGTGTATGTCCAGCAGCCACCTGGCTATGGTGACAGCGATTCATGCAAGTTGGAGAAGGCTCTGTACTGGCTTAAACAGGCCTGACGCGCCTGGTATGCGCGCCTGAGGTCAGAGCTGGAGATGATGTTCACTGTGTCACAGGCCGACCCGGGCCTGTTTTACCATGACGTGAACGGTAAGCTCTTGTAACTGCGGTTTACGTGGAATACCTGGTGGTCGCAACGAAGGACCCCGGTGTCTTGGACCAGTTGAAGGCGAAGTTAAAACTGGTGGTTAATACGGGACCTGGGAAAGGCCCGCGTGTTTTGGGGTCTTGAGATCGAGCGCAACCTCTCGGAACGCGAGATTAAGGTGCCACAGAAGCGGTTTGCCACAGAGCTTGTGGAAAGTTGCGAAATTGTTGAAGCCAACTCCTCAACCGTCGCCTGCCTCCACACAGGTGTCGCTGGAGACCGTGTGGCAACCTCAAACAAGCATGCCATGCCACAACGACAATCTTATTGGTAGCAAAAACATTGGAGTGACTGCAATAAATAGAGCGATGAAAGGGGCTTCACGGTTATGATCCAACCCCAAATCCAAAACTTAAACTCACCGCACGTCATGGGTTCTTTACTATGAAGGTAAAGAGATACTATTGGCAACAGTGTTGATAATTCAATTTAATAATAATCAATGTTAGATATTCCTCTGCGAGCTGCAAAGGGTCAGCCCAATGTTCCGCTTACAAGTCAGTCCATCAAGTTTTACCATCGCCTTATGAGCCGCAAGTCGCATGGGCTGATTGATTTCAGGTAAAGAAGAACGCTTATTTACAACAACGGATGGCACATCAACCCCCGTTTAGCTCATCGTTACTTTCCGATCTTCGCAGTGCAAAACTTCCCGGAACACGCATCTTTAGGCCAGCCGTCATGCAGGGTCTGGAAGCTATGATTCCAGCACGGCGGCTGTGGTGATGCATATTTTGGCAGCCTGGACGTGGCTCTGGTTCAGGCTTACCGGTATCAGCGGCATCAGGCTCTGCTGCAGCAGGGAAGACTTGAAGGAACCATAATTGAAAAGCTGCTTGGAGACAGATTTCAAATATGGTTGTGGAGAAGTAGGTTGCCAGGCTTTCCCCTCGTGGAGTCTTGAGGACCGTTCCTGCCTACGGCGAGTCCTCATCCCATGGCCAGGTCAACCGAGGAAGGATTAAGGAAGGTGGGTTATAAAGGGAACATCGCTTGCGCCAAAATACATAGCGAGAAGTTTGCGGGGTCATACTGAATAGCGTTCATGGTATAGGCCAGCAAAGGCCTAAAGGGGTACCAAGGGGGGTTGCTGCGTACCATGGCGCGGACAACTTTAGTCATCCCCTGCCTAGCACTTGCACCCTTAGACACTGCCTGCGATCGGGGGTCAGGATAAATGTTAGCCATGCGCGCTCACCCCGGTGAGCCACCTACTATCTAGAGGCCCACGCCGCACACAGCACAGATATCGTAACCTTTGGTCAATTACCTCGGGTGGAAGAGCCAATTATGCAGATGTAAACGTCCCCGAACCCAGTCATGGCGAGGAGACCCGGGGTTAACCAGAGGTTCAATACGAAATGCGTTCGTGCGGATGGTGCAGGATGCAGGCAAACTTCGCGCTTCCGTAGGTACAGGATAGCCATCGACCACCTCCGCATTAAACTCCGTCCAACAGCACTCGGGGAGGCACCGGGCGCAGGCGGCTTTTTTGTCCGGTCCATCTGACTCGAGCGAAAGTTCCACCTATCCAGTTCAGCGACCCTGTTAGTTGTGACATGAAGCATGCACATGTCGCACGATGGGGAATTATGATGGGGAAGGCCGACTGGGGGAGTGTGCTGAGTCGATAATAATAAACGGTTGGCGTTGATTGCAGACATGCAAGCATAGAGGAAGTCGCAGAGTCCGGCACGGTGCAGAACCATCCAAAGCATAAGCACACTAAGGCCAGATCCCAGAAGTGCCAAAGCTGCTGGCAGTGAAAATCTGCTCACGAACATGTCAAAATGCAGCAGGTTCGGCGGTGAAAGCGAAGTGTCAAAAGCGAGCGATACGAGGTGTAGACAGTGCACTAGACGGGACTAAGGCGAGCAAACGATCGGCAATGTGCAGCAGTGAAGGTAGGCGCAAGGATGTGGCGATGAAGAATCTCCCATAGAAATGCGTGGAGTTGGCAAACAGTCAGTGATTGTTGCACAAATAATGGACACGGTGGAGTACGATCAGGCTGTTAGGTAGAAATCCCCGCTGTGCCACGTAGACACGACATGGTCAAGCTGTTGGCGAGCTGCTGAACTTCAATTTTTTGGATCGCTCCACTTGCATCCAAGTGGGCATCCGTTCAGGGTTTGGGTTCATTCCGTCCCTTGACTTTTGGGATCATCCAGCTGGAATTGTTGCGCGTGGATGATCTTGTGTGTTTTGGGTTGGACAAGAGGGGGTGTCCTGTTGCGCTCTTGCCAATAATATATGGGGCTAGAACTAGACGTGTCGTGGATGTCATGCACTGGACCAGGCCGGGCCGGGCCCCCAGTTCAGGCCCCAGTTGCTTTCGCAGGCATTCAACTGACAACTGACCCGACAGCTGGGTCGCGTCTGATGCCATCAACAATTAAAACATGCGTCTACCCGACGCTTATACTGCTTTGGACAGTTTTCGACTGACCAGTGGGTCTCCGGCTCGTAAATGCCCGTAACACTTTGGGAAGGGTAACGCAAGACACGCGCACACGCTACTTGCCATGGCCGGACGTAGTCGCCGGCAAAAGCGCAATTGTAAGAACGGACGATGCCATGCCGTCATGAGGAAGAACAATAGGCGTTAGGTTTTTTCGCAAAATCCACAACTATGCACACGCACACGCGGTCATAAAAAACGGCAACGGCATAACGCGTAGAAAAAGCCCTGCTGGCGGGCGGGGCCAACCACCTTCCACAGGAGTTGGCCATTCGGGCGGCACAGCCAAAATATAAGTATCCAACAAGGTTTTGCACGCCCAGGAACTGAACAACAGGAGGCAACCCTCCATCGCAGCCCATGGCCGACAAGGTTCAATATACGCAATGTGGCTGTGCGACACTTGGAGCGGTTCCCTGCATAAAGCCGTCCCACGGGGATCCTCCGCTAACAAGTGGACCTCTCATGGGCGGCAGATCAACACACGGCGTAATGTGCATGGATATAGTATCGTTAAACGGAAGACTCCTCGGTACTTGGCGAGATGCAAATTCCCCGCTTGCGCAACATTGATTTCTAGTCATAATGCGAATCCCCACTAACTCTTCCGTGGCCCGGGACTTGCAACGGCCCGGGCCAAACGGGAGGCATGGGGCCAAGGGCAACGTGTTGAAGTAAAAGTGGTGCGGTCTTTTAAAACGACGATTTCGAAGGGGCACAGCAATTGTGCGATTCGCCGCTGTAGTGAAGGACGCACATTCGACCCTCATGGGCCCAACGCAAGCGTGTGAGCGGCCACACGTTAGAAGTCGATTGTGCTGCCTCTGGACGATGTGCATTCTTCACCGATCCGCTTCGCCTTTCCCATCGTATCGCACACCCTAACTCTCATTCGCAGCTACTTCCTGGTTCCTGAGCACCGCCTGGAAGCGCCGCCTCATGGCCAAATCTATCCAGGCGGCAAAGCCCGCAGACATGACAAGCAGACCTGTGGTAGTCGCAGTGACAACGAAAGCGGCAGTTGCTACCCCCATCGGCTGTCCAAATTTGCCGATGTCGCCGTCACGGCCCTGACTGGCGTCGAAGTATCTGCTCCCAATGGCCGTCAGAGCCAGCGCATCCGCAACCCAGCACAGCCGGTAGGCCAGAAAGCGTACATGAATGCAAATAGGCTGCAATAACACCAGCAACACCGCCGCCGTGCAAACTGCCCACAGCAGCCGGTCTGGCAGAGGCCCAGGCACCTTCCACATGAAACCGGCTAGCGGCACCATGGTGGCAATGTGGATGATCCGCACCAGCACCTCGCGCCGCCTGAGGGAGGGGTTCCAATGAGAAGGCGTGCGATGTAGCAACGTAAGAATGACCAAAACAGACTGGGTTTATTTTCACACGGCTGAATATGTGACGTGCAAAGAACCGCATGAGCGCACGGAAACAGGCACGGGAACGCTTAATGCTGGCGCTTGCTGCCGTGATGATACTGGAATAGCTGCGATCTGCGTACAGGGATGCGTTTTCTCCGCCGTGGCGGTAGGATGAACAGGAGAGGAAGTGCCGCTGCAGCCATGAGGAATGGAGCAGCGTCCTCGATCCGTTTCCGACTTGGCAAGGAGGATAATCGTTGATTAGCCCGCACTTGAATTACATACGAACCCAGTAGCGAAAGGCCTCAATAGTGATAAAGGAACTGTCTCCCTCCGCCATTTTCCGTTTTCCCCATCCTCTAGGACCCACCGTTGCCGGATGGTGCCGCCCATGTCCGTTGCCGCCACCATGGAGATCACCGCAGGCAGCGCCAGTAACCCCAATGCTGCTCCAATGCCCGCCAACAGGACTATCGCCAGCATCCAGTCAGGCCCCCACGATGAAATACGCATGACCCCTTCGCCTTGGATGCTCTCCGGCGAAGAGCTGCTGCGATTTACATGGCTGCCGCCGTCGGTACCATTGTGTCCCCAGTTGCCCAACCAGATGACGGCCATCAGCAGTCGCGAAGCCGTCGTCTCAAAACCCGCCGCCCACACAGCAAGAGATGCCATGGCGGCAAGCATTAGCGAGAAGACAGCCGGTAGAATGCATGCGACGGCACGCTCCATCCAGCTGGATTGGCCTCCCAAAACCGCCACGAAACGGCGCTCCAGGTGGGGCTGCTTGAAACCCAGCAGCACCTCCCGCAGGCCTACGGCGGCGCACGGGGCCCCGTCCAAATCGCTGTGACTGGCGTTGAACCCGCTGCTCTCTGTACCGCCGCAGCTGACAGCAGTTCTCTCATCCTTTCCTCCGGGTCCGCCCCTTCCGTGGCCGGGTGCTTCTTCCGCCTGATCCTCATATTGCGGAGCCGCAGACTGCTGCAGCTCGTGCGCCTGCTGCTGACTTAAAAGGCTTGCTGCATCGCTGGGGCTCTGGGTGCGTTGTACTTGTAATTGAGTTGCTTGCGATGTCGGTGCACGTACGGTATCTGTGGGCCCGTGTGGGATGCTGCCGCCCTCCGCCGCAGATTCCATTGTTTTGGCTGTTGCTGTTGCTCCCGCAGATGGGCTCGAGGATGACGGCGGTCTCGGCTCACCTGGGCTCAGACCCAGGATGTGGTGAACAGCCTCCTCACCCACTAAGCTGCCGATCTCAATTTGCACCCCTGCGGAAGCAGACCATTGGCATGTAAAGATAAAACGGTTATTGGCAATGTGGTCGCGCATCAGCAGATATGATGGCTTCCCAGCTCATAGCTTCCCCCATGCCGATGAGCGGGGAAGCCAGGAACTGCATCCGCGGCTGCTTCAAGATCCCATGGGGGCATAATAGAAGGCTGGAGAAGCTTGAGAAAGCGCAGCGTCAAACGCTACGGATTCCTGCTTGCGCAAACGTTGTCTTACATGACAAGATCCTTAGTGCGACGCTCACAACCTGCACTGGAGGGGCTATCATGACCAGGTCCCACCTGCGTCCTGCACCTCCTCTAACAGGTAACGTACGGTGCCTGTGAGTCCCATCTGAACCATGTAGGATATCAGACCGATGCCTAGCTCCCGAAGCTCGTCCTGGTGTCGCTCTAAAGAAGAAGCTGAGGCGGCAACTGCACCGCCCTTCGTAGCTTCCTCCACATCCTCTTCCTCCTCTACCAGCCTCTCGCAGCCCAGCAGCAGGGACACCATGTCGGACACCAGTAGTGAGAAATGGTGCGTGAATGCGCGGGCACGAGCGACCCGTGGGTCAGCGCGACGATAGCCGGTAGCTGCAGCGCGGTACATCTCGTGCATGAGGCCGCGCAACTCACAAGCCACCGCTGGCGGCACAATCGCTATGGGAATGTAGAGGGCGGCCGCAGCTAGGGCCTCTCTTAGTGTTGGCTGCTGCTGGCGTGCTGGCTCCTGCCTGATTGGCAGCACCAGAAGCGCCGCACTGCCTTCCTCCAAGCCAGAGAGGTCCAGCCTACATCGCACAGGCCGCGCACAACGCGGTCCAGCTGTCGACGAGTATACCGGTTTTAGGTTAATTGATATTGCAAGAAGGGGCTCATCTCTCGGGGCGTCATGATGGTAGGAATGAGATTGAGCCCCAAGCTTATTTCTCAAATGCACAATATTCCACCCACCATTCAACAACCTGCTGATTTAAGCAAGACAGCCTTGCATGGCTTCAGGATCCAGCCTTCCGGATAGGCAGCCTCTTCGGGGTAGGCAGGCAAATTCACCAACGGCCATAAGCGCCTCGCTCCTGTTTTCCGTATTTCAGTGGCGGCCATCCCGTATGTTTCCATCACTTGCCACTCCTCCTACCCCCCCCCCCCGTTTTCCGCACCTGACACTGGCCCCCCTGCTACGCCCCACGCTCAGTCGCTCCACCTCCGCCACCACCACACCGTGCTGCTTCACCACCACTCGAACATCCACGGTGGAGGGGCAGCCGCCGGACGGAGGAAGGTCACCAGTGGTCGAGGGCGGCACAGAGCGGCACTCAGACGTCGAAGAGCTTTCGGCCGTCCGGTCTGCATCACTGCCTTTCCCACCGCTGTCACTGCCCCCACTAGCGCCGGTGCTGCCGTCGCCGCGATGGGGTATGCCATCCCTACTCCCGCCCGGGTCGGTAACTGTAGAGCCGAAGTCGTCCAAATCAAAGAACAGGTCGACTTGCACACCGGTGCCTCCGCCCGCTGTCCTAGTCCGGCAACTTGACGAGGATTCAGATTTGAACCGTGGCGGCAACATGGGGTAGGTCGAAGGTGGCGCCATTGCGGACACGCCCTCGAAGACGACAGCGTCTGGAGCCACCTCTTGGAGCCGGATCGCCTCCTGATGCGGCGGCGCAAGAAGAGTCAGGGGTGCCTCTGGAGTGCTCCGCACCATCGGTGTTGGGATAGCCAAGGACGCTGGTGGCAAGTCACTGCGCGGGTGATGATGATAATAATCATTATGGGGATCTTGACGGTGATCGTGGGTGGAATCCCGAAGATGGCGGTGAGAACTGCTCGGGTGTCGCTCGTCCACGTGCTGATGCCTGGGCTCTTGCTCATGTTGTTGCTCCACCTCTGTAGTCTGATGTTGGCGTATGGGTTCCGTAGGTTTCATAGCCAGCGCAGAAAGCTTGACGCCAACCGCCGGCGCAACGGGTGCCTCCACCGCCACAGTGGTGGGCTCCATATCAGCTACACGCGTCTGCGCATTGTTTGGACCCGAAGACGCTCGGTCTAGCAGCTCCACGGGCGCCGATACCCGGCGGCGGAGGGCGAGGTGCCGAGGCGGGTGTCCTGGTAGCAGCAAGGCGCTCGTCGTTGGATATTGCCGCTCGGTGTCCCCTTGGGGTTGTGCAGGCACGTGCACGGCCTCTAGCCCTGAGGACACGTCCCTGGGTGTTGCTTGGGGATCGGGCCTATCTGCAGCTGCAGCCGTTGATCCGGCAGCTGCCGCCGACAGATCCTGCTGCCGGGAAGAAGGCTCGCTTCCGTTGCCGCCACTGCTGCTGCTGCTTCCGCCACCGCCACTAGCACTTCGGCCGAGCTGCCTGCGGTCCCACACCGCTGGTATCCCGCGCGGCCGGCAGGTCCCACCGCGTCCGTCTGATATGCCTACAACGCCTTGGCCGTTCGCAGCGCGGACGGTAAAGGAAGGGGCATCGAAGGTACGCCCACGCCGAGGAGGCCGTCGCCATCTGACGGGCGATGCCGGTTGCTCGACTCTGCTGACGTCATCAGCGGCATGCAGGTCGCGATGTTGCCGCAGCATGGAGGAAGGACGCGTGAATTGGCTTGGCAACATCTCACTTGTGTGCACTGCCGTGGATGTTTCCTGATTGTGCCTCGCTCCAGCGATAGCGGGCGGCAGCCGGGACTCCGCTAGAGCTGTAGTCGGAGTTGACGCTGCAGCGACCCCCGGGACATTCCAAGATTCTCTCAGCCCGGACATTGTGGCGCCCACGTCGGGTATGGTGACCAATGCCGGGCCCCGGCACCAGCCGCGTTGACCGCCACGTTGATGACGGTGGTGGTGGCCATGGCCGCGGTTGCCACCGGCAACCATTGACGTGCTTAAAGCCCCGGTATCGCTGCTGCGATTACTATCTGTAGCCGTACCGTTGCTGGCGATGTCGGTACCACCGCCGCTGGTGCGGGCACCGCCACCACCATCACCACTTGCGTCCTGCCTAAAGCCCGGCGGAAAGTAACCGCTGCATTCGGCACTGCTCCAGCCCTCTACCTCCAGCGGCTGCTGCGAACCAAGCACAGCGCCACGGTCTTCACAACCATTATCAACGTCATCGCCAGCACCGCCGCCGCCGCCAGTCGCTGAGGCACCAGCGGTGCATAGTGTTTCGTCGTGCCCAGGCCAACCCGCACTTCCTCCCAGGCCGCCTAAAGCTAAGCCGGCGCTGGGAGCAGCGGACAGGTATGAAGATCCACGTCCGCAGCTCAGAGCACCGAAAGGTGAGGCGGCTACCGTGGCTGCAAGCACCGGCGGGTGCATGTAGGCGACCAGTGGCACCATCGGGGCGAAGGGCACCTGCAGTAGCCCTTTGCTAGCGCCTCTGCGTTGAGCAGCCCGGACCGCATACCTTGCGGCAACACCGGCGGCAGCGGTGGTGGAGGCGGGCGAATTGTCTGGGCCGATGCCTCGGGGTAGTGCCTCTGATGCGATTGCAGCGGCGTTGCCGGCGCCGGCTGTACTCTGTTCTGTTGCAGCAAGGGTGACGGATGGCTGTGCTGCTGTTGGAGGATGCGTCCCGGCCGTACGAGGCTGCAGCACGAAGATCTGCAACCAATGACGATACGAGTAAGGTTGAGTACACTGTTAGACGAAGAATCCCCAAAATACGCGTCAAGGGGCTCTACCGGGCGGACAACACCCCCTGGGACGTAGCTCACCAATCAATGCCGCCTGCCGCTCTGAAACCCAATGCAGAGACTATTCCACCAGTATTCCTTGGCCCCGCTTCTTGTCACAACAAGGCTTGCCAACGGCACTGCATATCAATGCAAAAACGCCTGCGCCTGTCCTTATCTACCCTATCAGAATCACTATTACCCTACCGTCTTTGGAAGCTCTGCGCCACCCCTTGGCCGTTTGAGCTCCTGGCTGCTGCTTTCACCCTCGCTGCTGCTGCTTGGACCGGTGACCTGGGAAGGGACTGTGGCTGATCCTGATGCTGACGTGTCACCACCTTCACCTTCAGCGGTGCCGCTGGAGGTCCCGTTGACGGCTGCCAGTCCCCGCAGCTCCCTTTCCAGCGCGGCTACAGCGGCTGCAAGCTCCTCCTCTTGCAGTTCATCTCCGTCGTACTGTCCATGGCCCGGTCGGCAAAAGCAAAAAATGAGTGTTTCATTATCAGCTTAACGGCCCAAGGGATCAACTGCGGTTGTTAAAAGACTTTTTCTGCGCTTAGCCCGTCACTGGTCAAGTGACGGTCAAGCTTCATGCGAGCTGCCGTGCCCGGGGCGCTCTCCAGACATCCACAAGTAAGTTAAGTACAGCCTTCTGAAAGCACCTGGTGCGATTCTTCTTGATGCACCGTACTGTACGAACATGGGTATTTTAGTTGGCTTCTCAACCTGCCCCATCTTTCCAACTGGCGCTGGTGTTCAGTCCAAGCTGATGAGATACTATTTCGGATGCCGGTGGTGGGTTCTAAACCTGAGCGATTCACTGAGAAGTTGACTAGGGTGACTAGATGAGGGTGCCCCGAAATACCGGGGAAGGCAGTATCTGCCGGGTAGCGGCCGCAGGGTGAAGATATAACCCCCTGTCCCACACATCATACATGAGGGCTTGGTATTAGACTTCAAAACGATATGGTCTGTTGTTAGCGCGGTATAAAGCTTCACCCGTGGCCACTTTCCTTCGCGGCGATCCCTGCCATCCCTTTTTTTATTATAACTAGCCAACTCCCCTGAATCGCCCACTACCCATAAGCTCTGACGTGTCAACAGCGGCGACATCCCTTGGCAAGCCGCCTTTATCTAGATCCTTCACTGTCCATCCGGCAAAGGGACAGTAGCACTGTGCCCTCTCTACTCCAGCGAATAAATAAACCTGAGGTTCCATTAACAAATTAATATTGCCCTTTAGCAATCGCATTCCGGCGAGCTCTTGTGTAGGTACACGTCCGGGTGTGTGGATTACAATGCTGCATTCGTAAAAAAACAAGCTGCACCGTCGTCCGTCGGCTGGCCGCGCTTGTCACTACCCCCAGACCAAAACTCCGCTCTCTCACCTGCAACCTGAGGACTACCTCCAAACAGCCCCTCAGGCATTGGACCTGTGAGATATAGCCCAGCCATCGATCCGTGGGTCGACGGCCCGCCTGCCTGCGCGCCACCGTGTTGCTTGTCCCAGCTTCGTTCATGACCGTGTCAACTGCGGTGTGTGCCGCGGCTGTGATGGAGGTGGCCATTCGCTCGTACGGCACGTCGGCAGGGGTATCCAACTGTCAAGACATCGAAGGGATTCAAGATGGAAGAAGCTGGGTAGCAATGGCAGGGACCAGGGCAAGCTTGCTGGCGCAAGGAATAGCCCGAACGCATGTGCCCATGGTGGGCGGGGTGATGCACAAGCATGCTGACAGCATGCGCATTCAAGCAGAATCCAAGCGCAAGGCCTAGATGGGCGCAATTCCTACAGCGTCAACCGCGCCTCCACTTCCTTTACTTGCCGGCTTCGCGTGCATTGTCTAGTGTTTTCCATATCACGCGACAGCTCCAAAAGGAAAACCCAAAGCAGTCTGAACCTCTGCACGCACCCGGACCGCACTTGCCTTAAACATGACTGTAACGTGCTGCATAGGCGAGTTATACAGCACCGACGGCCGCCCCTGTGCGGCTGCGTACTGCTCAGGGATGCCGGAGCTGTACGGAAGCACCCCGGAAGAGCCGGCCATGTATGCACTTGGTGGCGGCTGCGGCGAAGACGAGGACGGTACCCTCAGTTGAACTTGTTCTGAGGCTGCTTCGGAAGCAGAGGCAGTTCTAGCGGCAGGTTGTTGACGGTCCGCCAGCAACTCGGTCGCTTGTAACCATCGATGGAAACGTACTGGAGGTCTGTCAGCTGCAGCTGCTGTGAGGGCGGCTCGAACTTCAGTTGGGTCGCCACCAGGCTCCGCTGCGCCGCCAGCCAGCCGTAACTGCTGCTGGGGCCCAAGCCCAGCTGAAGGCTCGGCAACGAGGCCAGGAGGCCGTGCTGCAATTTGGGCAATCTCCTGAGTCAGCGAGCCCGCCGATGGGCCTTGCCGGAGTGCGACAGCGTCGGTGTGCATTTGCTGCACTGTTTTCAAGGGACACGCTGCTGCGGGCCGTTGCTTCTGCTTCTGCCGCTGCTGCTGCTGCTCCTGGAGGTGATGGGACTCCGGTGTGTCAGCTGCGCTTATGCTGGAGCGCAGCTGCTGTGGCTGGTCTGGTGGCGCGGGCTTTACAATACCGCCACGACTCGAGGCAGCGGCTGTGGATCCACCGGCAATGGTGTACCTCTGTCCAGTTGCCGCGGGCGGCTGTGAGATCGCAAATCGCCTCGCCGCCGAAGAATGTGCGCCCTGTACTGGTGCTGCTTCCTGCTCCGCTCCGGTTTGAGGGCCCGGCTCCGAAGCGCTCGACTCCTCCGGGCAGCTTTTGGGTCGGAGGTTGTCCTTGTGGCACTTGGATGGATCAATTGCCAGCACAGTGAACGGCAGCACCGGACGCTGCTGCGTGTTCTCGCTCTGTCCATGCAATGACGCTTGATACTCCTCTGCCGCTGTTGCGGCTGAGGTCATGGATACAGGCCGCTGACCAACGGGTACCTGGTCTGCAGCCCGCCTCCCACGGGGCCGCAGCCGCAAATCGTAAGGCAGCTGCAGCACCAGACCAGCAGCGGGCGACGTGAGCGAAGGAACTGAGGGCTGCGGATCATCCCCCGGTGGCGTTAAGCTCTCTGCGTGCATGTGCAGAGGTCCACGGCACTGGAGACTATGAATATTGTCTCATCACCCCGGCGTGAAGTCGGAAGGAACTGGTAAGCATTTAAAAAGAGAGCGCGGAGTCATGCGGTCAACGTATTGATGCCGTAACACTGGCGGCAAGCGCAGCTTTTCCGCAGCATGGCCGTTCTAGCACACCGGACTCGCCTAATGCGTCATATTGATGGCTAGGTAGACGACCGTGTCTTTTCTTTATGTCTTCTAATCTTGCTGATTCCTTATCATGTCTTTAGTCCTTAGTTGTTACCTTTATTCGTAAGCATAACTCGGCATAACGATAATGCGCCGAGCTTCAAGACTGGGAACCACGCATCGCGCGTTGTGCAAGCAGCAGTCTATAGCACACATTAACACAGACGTACGCAATCACTTCCCACGCGCGCGTAAGTATGTAAATCTGCCCTGGCGCCGTCGCTTGGGCAGACGGCCAGCCTACCCGGCGTCTCTGAGCCCCTTGCCTCCGGGACCTCTCCCGCTACGGCTGCTCCGCGTGAAGGCATTTCACTGCTCCTCCCTGCTCGATGACTTGCCAGCATCCAGCCCTCCGAAGCGCCGCTGGGGTCGCTGATGCATGAGCGCGCACGCGGCACATGACATTCATTCGGGGTACGAGCAGACTCAGGGTCCCTGCTGATCGTCCCGGAAGGTTTATCAGAAGTCGCTACAGCCCCACACGGCAATTTTTGTGCAGCACCCAGCCTATTGTACACAACGTTATTAGAGTGACTTCAAACTAGCGATCGTCCTCATATCTGAATTACGCAATAGACGCGAGGACCCCGGTCGCTCTTAAGCTTCCAGAGGACTGCATGTTGAAAGGCTTGTATGAGCCTTACAAAAAACCCAGCCGCAGTTCGCAATGAAGGGGTCCAACACACCTGGGTCCCTCATCGGGCGTACCCCTTTCCTCCGGCTCGTCACTGGTCCTCATTGCCCGCCGCCAGTTGAGGTGTCGTCCAGCCTGCGCGGACTTGAGGTTAGGAGCAGAGGAGGGGTACGGGTACCCGTTACAGGTCACGGCCGCCTCCAGGTGCACCTATGTCCCCGCGCAAATCTTGCACAGCAATCTCCGTACAAGTGCGCGCGACAGGAACAAATCCTGCAAACAAGGTGATATATAATAGAAGCCAGGTCGAACAGGCAACAACACGGTGCTTCGCCGGCGGGACACAAAGCCGTTAAAGCTGCCACCTTGCGGTGCTCCTCACTCCAGGGCCTTACGGGCCTCCAAAACACTGTCTATGCAGCATGCCCCATATATAACAGTATCGCCTCCGTGTCGGCTTCCGCTACAGGGACTCGCCATTTATACACGCTCAACTGCGCTTATGCGCGTTGCTCTCCCGGTCACCTTGTATTCCAACTTACGATTGCACGTCGAGCCGAGCACGTACACTGCGCTTATGACGGCTCCTTTGCTACAAGCCCCGTCCTGATACCCGAACCCAAACTCCACGTCAAACCGTACCCCACGCCACGCCACCCCGCCCAGCTAACACCCACCTGCCGTATCGCACGGTGTAACCGCACCAGTGACGCCGTCAGCGCCAAATCCATGAGCCAGGCTGCCACGCCACCTAACCCAGCCGCCAGTAACAGACGTGCGTCCAGGCCCCCCAACAACGCCCAGCTGCGGTCCAGGTCACCACCCTTACCACCATCCTTCACTCTCCGGCTACCAGCAGCCGCAACTTGGCCCACAGCGGTGGGGACTGTGGAGAAGATGGAGGCACCGGTGGCCGGGGTGAACGGATGGGGCTCGCAGCTAGGTGGAAAGGTCTCCACGGGTGACTGGATGCCGGAGATGTGTAGTGGATGCGATGGGGCGGCGGCTGAAGAGCTCGGCTCCGGCAGCTTGAAAACGGTGGCCGCCGTGCAGCCCAGCCGCAGCGCCAACGCAGAGGAGGCGATGCGCAAGAGCGCGTGGATGCACGACGGCGGTGGTATTGACCGCCGAGGCACGGTCAGCTGCGGGCACCATACAAGGGTTCGAGAGGTATATCGTCACCACTGCGATTTTCTGCACTCTGCAGTCTTCTGCTCCTTCAACACGCTCCCAGGAAGAGCCACAGGTAGGTCCAGCAACCCGGTAGGCACTGGCCTCCCATCTGTGTGCTCACCTCGCCGGCTTCATCTCTAGCGCTGCCAATGCCAATGCACTGGAGAAACCACGTAGACAAGTGACAAGAAGAAGATTCTTGATACTTGCGATGCTTAATAGACGTTACGCTGCTTCTTTGTCCTTAACCACACACAAACGCATCGACCATGGATAATATGGATTCACCGCGATAAAAAAACATTAAAGAGAAAATTCGACGCGCATGTGAAGCTAGTTATTGCTATTAAATTGAAAAGATTGATTCTCAATTCAAAGCTAATGACCGTGCAACGACGCGCCTGTGCCGACCCACAGGTCGCAACAGAATCACCTGTTGAATAGGCAGCACTGTTACCAAAGCCTGCAAAGCAATACCATGCCATTGCAATGCTGCCTGAATGTTTCGGAAGCACCGCGAACGGCTGCCGTGAAACGCTATGCAGAACAGCACCAGCGCCGTGACGGCCGCGTGCAAACAGCCTGCAGCGCGGCAAGCCCGCCCTGCAGGCGTGGCTGGGCTCTTGCCAGAGACACGCAGACCGGCAAGTAGCGCCAGCGGCCAGGTGGCCGCTAGCATCGTGTGCACAGGGCGCAACTGCAAGAAGCAGGTTATGAAATGGAAGGGAGGATTTCTGCACGGAAGGGAGGATTTCTGCTTGGCGTGCCAGGCGCGAGGGTGCGGAAGCTTGTACCTGGCTTCCTGCCGGCAATTGGAATTTCATGGCCAAGCACAAAGGCAAAGTAGTCAGAGCCAGACGCGCTACCAACACCTGGCTGGAAGGCTCATTTTCTTCCTGATCCATGTTACTATTCGTTGGTAACAAAACATTTGCGACAGGAGTCATACATTCTTTCCTTGTTTCTGTGTGAACGCAGTTCACTTTTGGGTCCGACGAAGCTGGCTGTCCGGCAAGTGCCCTTTCGGTGGCCGAAGGACGCAGCATCCGCTTCGGATAGCAGCCTTAACTGATCGGGCCTCAGTGCAATAATGGCATTCTTCACCTTCTGGCTATGTTCCGGGCTACACAGCCTTCTGCTCTGTTCAGGAAATCAGGGTGCTGCCCTGAAATGGTAGCACTCAGGCATTTTTTCTTACGTCAGAGGAAGTCCCCAAGGATGTATCGTCCAGGAGACCCACTAATTTCCCAAGGACCTGCACGACGCGCCAGACAGATGCGCAGCTCACACATTGGACTTCCTGCCACCAACATCGAAGGTATGCATGCATGCCATTAAACCAATACACCAGCAGCAAACCATGGCCGCGACAATCCCTGCTGGCTATGCGGGCACTCCCTCCTACCTTTATGCCACCTTTACAACATAACAATCAACATCTTCGCAACCAAAGCGTGCAAGCGTGGATGAAGAAGCAGATGCAAGGTTACGGAATGCCATATCTTAGTGCGGGACGCAAGTACCAGTAGTTCTGTAAGAACCATTCATTCCATGCGGACGCAAAAACGTTCATGCGATGCCACTGACACCCCGACATAGCACGTCCAAAGCGGACTCTAACTTGCTCTTGACGCTGTTCAGGTCGCATGTTTCGATACCTCGGTTGTCTGCTCCGCAGTTGGCGCCACTGCCCTGCAGATAACGGCATATACGGCTTTGGCTTTCGCTCTTAAGTTCCCAGTCCGCAGAAGGTCTCAAAAGAATCATCATGCAGATTGCATGGAACCTGCGACCACTCTTAGTCCCCACACCTAGTGCCGGGGGAATGGAGACCTCGTGTACGAGATAGCAACGGTTCCCGTTGCCTGCTGTAATCACTGAACGTCGTCCATTTAGCTTATGCACTTCAGTCGGACGCCGCAACCGGGAGATTACCAGGCAATCCATATTGCGGGTACCCTTGCTAACGATCCCGCACACACCACGCACCTTTGCATGTCTGCGAGCGTCCCGTGCACAAACGTTCTCGCTGACGGCGAAGCAATGCACCTGCTGGCTGCGGGGTCCCTCGGTGGACGGCTGTCGCGGATCTTGGCTTCTATTGCCAGGCACAGCCTTGGGCTTGTCCCCTCCCTCAGCCTGAACTGGCTTCTCCACCTCGTCCGGCCCCGCAGCCGGCTCGGTTTTGGCCACCTTCACCGCTACGCCGCTGCACTGCTCCCTTACAAACATGCAGGCGCCGTCGTAAATGGCGAGGGAGGCATCGCTTGTCCATGGCCTGCACTGGGCGGCCTCCACGCAGCGCCTACACACCCTAAACACGACACGGGCATGCGTGGTAGGTAAATGTGCAGCCGCGTAGTACGGTTGCTTACATGGACTATCAAAGCGGGCAAAGTTCCTGGCTACGTTCCAGCACGGCAAGCGCAGCCCGTAGAGATTCCCCGCCGGGGGTGGGGTCGCTAGACGGCGCTACATCTGCTCGGTATTAATAAGGATGCCCTCTTCGCTACTTACTGATAACAAGCGATGAAAGCCTCGTTGTCACCACCGCATTGCTCGCAGCAGGGTGCCGGCTGTTGCTGCTTGCGGCTGCTGTTTGTCGGCTTGTCTTCGTCCAGCAGCCGCCTGGCACAGGGCCTGCAGGGTGTGCAGGTTTGTAAGTAGCTCGGTAAGTGCCCTTGGAGTAGCTGGGGCCTTACAAACACCAGACCGCGGCGCTTTCAGCGATTGACTAGGTTGCGTTACTTTACGATGTTATGATCGCAATAATCACGGCAGAAAAAAATTGGCGAAGTGTGGTTGTTCGGAATCCGAGCAGCGAATAATAAAAGGTGTACACGTCGAAATGCGATTGTCAGGGCCGGAGTGTGCGTGCTCCTGCACAGTGGCTGCCAATATGAGTAACATGCCAAATATGTCAAGGATTCCCTGGAAGCGCGCCGGTGTACCCACACACGTGTTGATCCTCATTTTGCTATCTGGGTGACTCGTGGCGAGAAGCGCCAGCGACGACAGAATCAGCAGCAGCGATGCGCCAGCAACAGCGGCGCGATGGTTGAGCATCATGGTCACCGTGGCAGATTGCTGCAGCATCCAGCATTCGGCGCGATATTCCCTTACCACAATGAATTGGATCTCCCGGAATATGTATGGGCCTGCGTCGAGTCTGAGCCCATATGCGGCACGTGTGGCGGTAGAAGCCCACTGCAGTAGTCAAGTCGATTGTTGTCGAACCTTTGCTTCGATGTCGATGCTGACCTCATCATTATTAAAAGCCGTAAGTTCCTAACGTGTCTACGAAACGGAGGATTTGAGAACCGCTCCACTCCAGCGGTAAACACATTCAGCTCTACTCGATTCAGTCATCCTCCACGCCAGAAGGCGTGTGCGGTATCCAGCTACGTCCAAGGCAAGATTCGTTTTGCGTGGCAGCAGTCCGTCCTGGACGAAATTAAGATTTCGTCATCCTATGGGCAATGGTGTACACTGAATTGCAAGGCTTACTTGGGCAGATAGATGGGTTCACGCCAGCTTAGCTTTTACAAGTGGCGCGGGACCCCTCCGTTGGCCAGCATAGACATACACATCTCCATGCCGATTGCCTGCTTCGCCAAGCGCTAAGCCAGGCGCTATGTTTGAAATGCGGAACCCATGCCTCATGCGTGCTCAAGGCGCGCCCTCCTTCAAATAAACCACCATTGATTGCTCTCTGCCTCTTTGCCATGGATGGAGCGAGCGCCCGCCTCCATCAAACGCTGCCTTCCTCGCTGCAATAGAGAGCATGACAACGACGATTGCGGAGGAGTGTAGGCATAAAAGCGGGCGCTGAGCCTACTAGACATGGCAAGCTGCCGTGGCCGAGATGCTGCTCCGAAACTAAACTCACCTGTACACAATCTGCCGTCAGGTTGTGTTCAGTCACCCTATGCGCATAGGCACTGATGTTTTTATCCAGTATTGGAGACAGATATCTTTTAAGCTACACAAACATAAAATCCGTAAACGCCGGTTGCGGCCAAAAAAATCCGCTATAATGAACCTCATCACTTGCTAGTTGTCGTCAGCGGGGAAAGTTGACGATCCCGATTATGCACATGCATAAACTTCCATCCTCCAGGGAAAGTATTTTATTCGCAGAGATCCTAGACAATAGCATCTCCACCACACATGCTCTCCCCTCTCCCCCCCAACACACACGTGCCTGGCAACCTGTAGCGTTACGAATTGCGTCGCCTGCTGGCCGAGCATAGGGCAGGAACAGCTGCGTGACCGGGAGTTTTGCGTCAGCGAAATGCCAGCGACAATCCCAGCGACTGCTGCATCGCCCGCCCTGGACACCTCTTCACTCAACACAAGGCCACCTGCATAAAAGGCCGAAGAAGTCCCCACGGGGAAATCTTACCGACCTACCCTGCCCCGTTTCCTCCCCTCGTCATTCAAGGATCGATTAATAAGCGTCGTAATCCAACAGCCTGAGGAACTGTCCTCTCACTTTTGAGTTGATCGTGGGCGGTTGCCACTGACAACCAAACACTACAGTTTTGACTTGGGAAGGACAGATCGATAGATTGCGCCTGCCATGAATTCCGATAAAAGACGAGCTAATGTTGGGCTATTCCAATCATTATAAGGTAAGTTCCCGAACAATCCTAGTTTTGCATACATGGACGAGGTTACGGCCGTGGACTCGTCCGTGGCGAGCCGGTCGGCCGTGTCAGAACGTCTCCGATTATGGCAATCCAGTCGCCTGAGTTAATGGAACAAATATAGAGGTGCGGGCGAGGAAGTCTTGTCGAAAACCTGCAAGTTGTTCATTTGCAGCGCACAACAAGGTATAAGGTTGCTTATGCAGATTGGTAACATGCCTAAAGGAAGGGTAAATGTTGGTAAAAGAGAGGAAAGGTACAACGACAGGGAGGCGCTTTGCAACAGATCAACCGCCATCGAGTGCAGGTGACCCAAGGTTCGTTCATGTGCCTAACGGCATGTTTCGCATCCACATGTCGCCCACGTTTGGATCTTGCAGCAACCGCTGTCGCCGTCCCAAGCCAAGCTTTCCATTAAATCATACGATAATCAGTAAGCTTTCCATAAAATTATAAAATCAGGGAAATAACTTGCGAGATTTGCCACATGAGTGGGTACTGTGTACGTGGTCGGCAGACCCCAACTGCTCAGCACACATCACATACTCAGCGTAACCCCATTTGGAACCATATCTCTGCTGCATAAGCAAGGCGGTGTCGAACGCCATTACCTAATTTTGTCACGTGCGTGTCGGTGCAGCGCAGTACGTTGCTGCACTCCTAGAATTATTGTGGTGTCCAAACTGATGGCCAAGCGATGCGCAGCTCGGCGGAAGCGCGGCGGCGGCCGATGCCGTTCACCAGGGCAACCAGGCGCCAAGGTTACCGCTGCCGAGGCACCTGCTGAGCGCGTGGCTTCATCCGTAGGGCCGCAGCACATCGCGCATCTAGCGTTGGCGGCGCTGCCGCTCTGCTCGGCTTCACCGTACTTCCGTGTCTTTTCGTCCGTGTGGTCGCTCTTGGCGCAGTTGGCGATCGCTGTGTGGCCCCTGGTCGTGTGCGCGCAGCTGCACCCAGCTCCCTGCTCAAGGCCAGGAACATGCCAAGTAAAGAATAAAAGTAATCGTCGTCATCGCGCCCAGCGCCAACAGGAGCAGTCGCAACGGGACACCGGCAAGGATGTCCTCAAAGGGCAGCACTCCGGCGATCACAGCACCTGCGTCCCCACCGGCCGCGTCTGTCTGTCGCACGTGCTCCAAGGCGCGGCTCTGGCGCACACCGTGGCGGTGGTCTGTGTGGCGCTGATGTGCGGCGGCGGCATGGAAGGAGGTGCGAGCTCGGTTTGCCAGCTGGCGCGCACAGCCATACACTGGCAGTCGCTGTTTTTGCTGCTGCTGCTGCTGCTGGGCATCGTATTGGTGTCGCTGGGGCCTTCCAGAGTAAGTTGCCTGGCACGGGCTAGGGGGGTAACGGCGACTGCGGACTGTTGGAGGCCACCCCGTAATCACCTCGGTTGAATCGAGCACCTGTACCTGCTTGTGAAGAACGAGCATGCCGCAGTGCCCTGGTGTGTGTTACCCATATCCGGGCCTCGCAGCCTCCATTCAACTCTTCCGGGCAGCGGCCGTTCTGGCGCTCCCGCAATGTTGGTTATGCGGCCCCTTCTGCTGCTGTTGCTGTTGTCCCCTGTTTGGGATTTCTGGTCCCAGGCCGGTCCCCTGTTAGTCCTGGCTGCGGCAGTGGGCGGCAGCGTCGCGGCAATGCTTCCGTCGGTGGTCCGCAGAGTGGCGCTGCAAGGTGTCGAACACTCCCGTGCGCTAGCGGTGCAGCTGTTCGGCCGAGGACGCTCCCACAGCGCCCTGCCGGCACCTCCATCCGCATGCGGCGACGGTTCCTGTACGAGCGAGGGCGGGCCACCGCTTCTGCCGCTTCCTGTAGCTCTGGCTAACAACGCCAAAGCTAGTAGGGCTCGCCAGGAGCCGTGTACCCGCACCGCTGTGCACCACACCGTGAAGAACCCCACCAGCTTAGGGGGCCCGGCAGCGGCTGGTTGCGGCGCGTTACCAGCAGCCGCCAGAGCGGAATATGCGTCTACAGGGCCGGCCGAAGAGCGGCCGACGGCTCGCTGTGCCGGCAGCTACAATGGCGTGTTACCGATGGGCCAGGACAGCGACTTCTCAATGGCCTGGGTCCGTACGGTGTCGGACATGACGCAGGAGAGCTGGTTACCCGCGTGTAGCTTTCCAATGGCAGGCTTGTCAGACTTTTCAGACGTAAGAGGTGGCAGCTGCTCGACAGGCCGTAGTGGCAGCCGCAACCCCAATGAACCTTTCAGCGCTCCGGCGCCAGCCGAGATCGCAGCTTACGGAAAAGCTGCGGCTGCAGAGGATATCGGGGCGGCCGCCGAATGGCGTGCTGCAGGTCCTGTAGTTGCTGTGCCCCCTGCTGCTGTGGTGGTGGCGGCGGGCAGTACTGCAACTCCGGTGCTGTACACACGCCGGCAACACCGCGGTTTCGGACTGGAGAGACACACGGGCCGGGAGGGCGCTGCAGCGGTGTTGTCTGGCCGAGGGTTTCAGGACGCGGTCCCCGGACCGGGCTCAAGAGCCGTCGCAGTGGGGACAAACACGCCGAAGCGCGACCGGGGAGGAGGTGACAAGGTATATCACACATGGGGGATTGCCGCTGGCGCCGCTGGGCCACTACGGCGGCTTGACGTATCTACAAGCGTTGGTGCTAATGCTACCGGTGCGAAGGCGGGCAACGCCACATCCGCGCGATTCCTTTTCGTGCTGTACGAATCGCGCATGCAGCATATCACCGTAGCATTCAAGGTAAGATTCGTTTGCATGACGGCAACGAGTGGTACGATGGTAGCCTTACTGGCAGGGATGACATTTCTCGCATGAATGTTGCTGTGGACGGCCCTTCCCTGCGCTTCCCTATCCCCCCCTTTCTCAACCCCTTTTACTCCCTCTACCTTCTCTTCCTTCTGTAGACCTCTTCACCAATGGGTGTCTTGGAAATTATATAATCTCTGGCCTCTCTTTCCCCAGCCAACCTCCCTCCCTCATACCCTCTTCGCACTGCTGCACCCAAGGTGGAAACCCCTGTTGGAATGTCGTACGATCGTGCTGCTGCCATTCTGGCCACCTCGGTGGCCACGGGAATAGAGGACGCACTGAACACGAGCACGTCACTTCGGTTCACGGCTGCATCGGGGAGGCCGTCCTCGGAGGCGCTCACCCACGCGCCCCACATGCCCATGCGGTCTGCTTCGCGATCTTCCGGCGCTGGTGGCAGCGGTGGTGCGGTGCGCAGCGGCCGCGGTGTCAAGGCCAGGGCCTCCGAGCTCGGTGGCAGCGGTTCTGTTTTGCGCCTTGGAAGCCCAGCCGCTGGTCAGGGACCCTCGGATCGGTGGTTGATCCACACAAGGCTGGTCCATTGCCTGAGGGGCTGTGTGGAGGTGATCGTGAAGCTGCAGGTGAGGAGGCGCTGAACGCCGGTGGAAATAGAAATATGACGCAGAGGGGCGCCCAGGGTCCATTTGGAGGAATTAACCGGATACCGGGAGTTGGGCTTTTCAAAGAGGAGGTAGGGGGAGGAAGAGGAAGAGAAACATTGTTGCCGCTGCTGGGTATCGTATCCGCCCCGTACATGTACGCTTTGCCTTTGCCGTTTGGAAGACTCAACCCTTAGCTCAACGAAAGGGTTTGGCCGCGGCACCTTTTTTCTTAAGTCACCTGCTCCCGAGCTGTGCCACGGTTTTGGTGCTGCACGTGCGATACCGATTTGTAGTATGCCGGGCATGATTTGGATGCGGATGTGCTGGAGCGAGGTTTGGGGGCACTGCAGCGGGAGCTTGTTGAGAGTCTGGAGCATGGCGGCGACATCGGAGCCATCGACGCAATCGGAGCCCACGGGGCGGCGGCCTTAGAGGGGCCCGGCCCTGAGAGGGGCCCGGCACGAATTCCGGTTGCTGATGGCGGCGATAGAGGCGGCCCGGCGGACTCCGTGGCCATGGCCCCTCAGGTGCCCCGTGCGGAGTGCTGCGCAGAGTTTGGGACGCGCTTAGTAATGTAGATCACCTAGTTCCCATATTGGTCCCCCAGTGGAAAAAATATGTTGCACTCCGAGCGGCATGTTGTAGACAGCAGCGGTGCTCAAGCGCCCCCTCCCTAGTCTGCCAACCCTGTGTACGGATGAGGTGGTACTGACGAGTGTGGCGGTGGCGGTGGTGGTGTTTTGGATTTAGACGCCGCCGCGGCACTTCCCGACACGTGTCCTTAGGTGCGGCACGGCATGCATCGAAAGTGCCTGTTGTTCGCCACCTGAACCTGAAATTGAATCTAATCCAGCACCTTACGCGGTTCCCTTGGCCATAGGTAATCGGGCTTTTAGGTAAAAATGGCTCTTAGGAGGCCCCTCCCCCAATTCCAATTCGTGAATTCAATAGGCTGTCATGTTGTCTACCGCACTCATATGACCCATCACCCTCCTGGGGCACTCGCGGAACTGGTCCCCCCTCCCCCCTAGCTCCCCGGCTTTAGTCCACATTTTGTCATCATGTGTAGTGCGGCGCGTGAAGACGGCGCGCTCCAAAAGGATGCGGTCGGCGCAAACTCGCATGCTGAGCACCTTGCTCAAGGACAAACCCCCCCCTCTCGACACGCACACTCCCACTAACCACGCAATAAATGTTTGCGGTGTTGTCCAACACAGCGGGGTGCCGCCGCACAGCCGGGTAGCTCCTCTGTTTCTGCCCCTTCAGCCTTCACCACCGCAGCCGCCATGGCCACCAGCCCTTGTGCGGTCTGGCCGGTAGTCCTGCGGGCGGGACAGCCGCTGCTGGTGCTCCTGGAGAGCCCCGTGGTGGAATTACCAGCCGATGCTGCGGCTGCTGCCCAGTCCGCCGACGAGGCTACAGTGGATATGGAAAAGAGCTGGGGTGGTTCCTCTGCAAGTACCGTCCGCCCGGGGTTCAGCGACGCAGGGACATGCCGCGAGGGCAGCCAGGCCGGCAAGAATAGGGTTGGGGCCACATCGCAGTTGTACCTGTACTTGGATGACGACTGCGACGACTACAGGGCCGGTGGGGCGGTGGGTGATGGCGACATGGAGGCCTCCGTGGATGTTCGAGTGGTGGTGAAGCAGCACGGTGTGGTGGTGGCAGAGGTGGAGCGACTGAGCGTGGGGCGTAGCAGGGGGGCCAGTGTCAGGTGCGGAAAACGGGGGGGGGAGGAGGGTGGACAACGATGGCCATGGTATTTGAGTCGGCATGATCTGGGGAGGGTCCGTCAGCTGCAAGAAGTTGACACATTAGCGGCGGGAAGCGGCCATTCGTCCGAAACATGGCGCTGTATTGCCAGTGGGGCACGCGCTCTGAGGCTGCTCTTATTCCGTCGACATTTTCAATGCTTCCGCCTTTGCAGGCTGCCTTCCAAAGCTTTCGGGCCACACACCTTGTCACATGCTGTGATACCGGACGTGCTTCCTCAGGACCCCCACCTCCCTTCCCTGTCCCAACCTGTTTGTAGCCTGGACCTATCAGGGCTGGCGGAGGGAAGTGCGACAGTGCTGGTGCTGCCGTCCAGGTCGCCCACAAGAGGGGTAGAGAGTCCGGACACGCAACCCAGCCCGGCAGCCCTGCTCTGCATCCCAATTGCGGTGGTTCCACCGGTGGTGGCGGAGGAGTTGTGCGGCTTACTGAATAAGATGGAGCAGGAAACCGCATCTGCCGCCGCCACCGGCCCTCGCCGCACTACCGACCCACGGGTCATTCGCGCCCGCGCATTCACGTACCATTTCTCTGTATTGGTATCAGACATCGTGTTCCTGCTGCTGGGCTGCAAGAGGCTGGTAGAGGAAGCGGAAGTGGGGGCGGCACGGCGCCAAGCGGAGTACGCCGCTTATGATCAAGAGGCTACAACCATCGAGGTTTCGGAGCTTCAGCTCCTTGGTGCAGACTTGTTGTCGTACCTGAAACGCTTAGGCCTCCAGGCCACGCTTCGCGGTGTACTGAAAGGCTTAATGGATGCGGGTAAGCCAACAAGCGTCAAGTAGTACTGGTCCGAGGCCACTGATTCCAGGCCACCGCGTATAGAAAGAGGAAATGCGGGTTTATGATAGGTTTGCTGCATACGCGCGCCGATGCATATCTGGTCTGGCGGTTGTCGGCGCCCGTGCATAGTAACCTGTAGAGTGGTGTTGCGCCACGCTGCTGCTGCCTCGTTTGCCCTTCTCTCCTAGCTGCTTGCCTTCCTGCCTGTCTACCTGCCGGCTGACTTTAGGCAGCAACGTACCTGTACGCGACCTGTGAGCTGATTGCGGTCCTTGGCCGCGGGTGCCGCAGGCGGTGGGCTGCTGTTTGACGGCCTGGACGACCTGTTGCGAGCTCCGGAGCCCGGCGAGGACACGGAGCTGAAGGCGGAGGGGGAGGCGGGCCAGCGAAGCGGCGACTCGGCGGTGCAGGCAGCAGCAGCGACTGAGGCAGAGGGTCTCTGTACCTCGAGGAATCCTGGAGCTCGGCGACTCGCAGCGGCTGTGCGGGCGACCTTCCTAGGCTTCAGGTGCTCGGCCATGGAAGGGGAGTGGCCAGCGGTATGCTCGTTACGGCAGTTGCAGGGGCTCGCTCACTGGGAGGGGAGGGAGGGGAGGGGCCGGGGCTAGCCTGCTCGCCTGGGGCCCAAGAGTGCGCCACGTGGAAGTGTATAGTGAGCAGGAGCTGGGCCGGGCTCACCGCATGTGGACAACCGGAGCAGTTTTGGGTCGGACCTTGTGAAGCCGCATCAGCAGTCATGCGCATATGGAAGGCGGCTGATAGAGGGCCCATCTACAAGGCGGCGTGTCTTCCTCAGCGGCCCGTCTTGACTCCATTTTGCTGACGAGGCGCTCTTGGGTATATTCGTTTTGCGATTGTCGTCCGGAACTGCGCCCTGGGCCCCCTTGACCCGGACAAGTGGACATCCGTTTGCCATGACATGATCCTTCTGCCTGGCCGGCCGGCGCCTGCCCCTCGTCCCGTACAGCGAACAAGGGCTGGAGGACGCTTGCACCGATTTCCGCTCCCGGCACGCCCAGCCGTGGGACCTGACTGCCGGGCTGTTCAACATGCTGCTGGTAGTAGCGACCACAGCAGCGCTGCTGGTGAACGTGGCCGGAGGAGGGCCCCACAGTTTCTGGGGTGATGCCCGGTGCTTTAATGTGGTCTTTCTCCGGCACTTTCGGTCTCTACCCAGCTGGGTGCCTGTGCTATTGGCGTTGGTGGTGGGCTGCATGCTGACCCCGCTGCTGCTCTTTGCGGCTGTGGTGATGGCGGCGGTGGGAAAGGAGGGCGCCCACATATTCAGGTGTGAGCGGATAAGGGGGATATCAGGTACACGTGAGGAGCACGAGCAGACGGGATGGGGCTTCTACGCAGCTGGGCATTCGGCAATGTGTGGAGAGGGCAAAACACGTGGAAGGCGGCCGGAAGCTCCGCCGGGGGACAATATTGGCGTATCAGGGGTGTCAGGGCGCCACAAGATTGTCTCCAGTATAGTCTTTTGCGGGAAATAGTGTTATGCCGTGCAGTCGGTTAATGTCAGGCTAGCTTTTGGCCCGTTCTGCATTACCCTGACTGTGCAGCATCCAAGGCTGGTGATTACGTCCTCGAAAACAAATGGCACGACCTACCGTGACATAAACAGCCGTGTAATTTTGTTTACTGCGGTCTTACGGGCGGCATTGTCATCTCTACCCTTGCCCGCCCTGGCGGGCATTCCAGGTGGCGGGAGCAGTGCCTTCGGGTCAGTCACGTTGCATGCCTGCTGGCGCTGTACTTGTACGGCAACTGGTACCGGAACTTGGACGAGCAGCTGCTCAGGACGAGCCGCGCACTGGCATCACTGGTGGTAGTGATCCAGCCGGTATCATACAGTGTAAGTGCGGGATCTTCGCGCATGTGCGCGAACATGGCACAAGTTGCACACACAGCGGAATTCTGGATGCCGCGGTGCACTAGGCCAGCAGCTTCTTGCATGAGTCCAGTCCCGCAGACCGAACAAAGAAACGCAATGCCGTCCATTTGCGTATATCCTGCCAAGTATTCATCCTGCTGCCTCTCTCACTGTATGTGTGGCCTTGTTGAAGGCTCGTCTCCAGGATGCCAGTTTTGGCGGTAGGGCAGTGCGAGATCGAGAACCGGGCAGTTACGTCGGCATCTTGCCACCTGCCACTTGACTGCACGCCAGGTCCACTTCCGTGCCATCGCGTGGTGCTGGCTGGTGGATGCGGCACTGCTGGCGCTGATGTTCCGCGATGCTGTCATCGGCGGTACTGACGATGGCGGCGTTGGTGGTGACTACTCGCTCAGCGCAGCGCCTCCTCACTGCGCCAGTGGCGGCACCAGCTGGGTTGGCCCCTGCTCTTGTTGGGCTGCTTGGGGTCCCGCTGCCCATGCTACGGGGTCCCGCATCCTGGCGTCCATGGTGCTGGTGATGGCCAGGGACGTCGGCTGGAGAATTTCATTCCTGGCAAGCGGACCGCTGAAAGGCTGACGGTAACAGCAGCAGCAGCAGCTGGAGGTGACAGAAAAAGAGGCGCACAGGTTGCAATCCTATTGCGAACTTGAATTTAGATGTTCTGGAGACCGAACGAGACGCAGTGGAGCTTATGGTCGCCTTGCCTGGTTGCGTCGTCAAGTTGTAGATTGGGTTGAGCACGTATGTACGTTGGGCATGGGCAGCTGGAAATACTGATGAAACCTGGACGAGAGGTTCCTCCTGTTCTGTCGGGGGGTTTTTTCAGCTTCTCATTACCTGGCATGCAGGGCCCCGGGGGCTTTCATGTCTCAGTGCCGGATTCCTGTTTAGGGGTGGGTTGCGGGCGGCGCATGACGCGCTGACATACATACGTGGGAACGACTGCCTCGTAGTTATCTCGTTGCTTTAGTTACAGCAGTTTCTGATCTCACAGCTTCCAACACGCTTTGGAACGGAACGCTGCTGCTTTTGCTGGGTTAAAACGTTCTTATGAAGGACATGAAGGGTACAGGCATAATGTCAGCCTCAATGGCTGGAAACGTAGCTGGCTAGGTGGGTATCGCATGCCATGAACTGCTGCTGCCATGATCCGCTCGTTATGGGCGAGCGATGCACGAAAGGCATTGCCCGTGCTGCGTCGCCCTAATCCGCAACTGCGTGTGCAGGTGAATGTGCCTGGTTCGCGTTGTTGTGTAGTCCCTCTAGCGCTGCGAGCTGCTTTTCATCATTCATCAGGCAGCAAAGGTCGAATCACGAAGAAATGGAGATATGGAAATAAATGATGTGCGTTTGTCGAATGCCGTCTCCACGTATCTGCCGTCTCTATCTTATCAAATATAGAGCAACCTGCTTTCTTTAGAGGCATATCTATGTACAAGTGTGCCAGCTCTTAGCTGTCGAAGCCCCCTTTGCGTGAGTAGGCATATGTGGTCTTGGATATTAAGGATCTGTGTGTCGTACAAGTACATATGGTGTACGAGCATGTCGCCAAGCGCGCTTGTTAACGCACTTGTCAACATATCCGGTCCTAAAATGTTATGTATGAGTTCCAGAAAGCATTTTGATGTTAGCATCCGAGTTGGGTTCTGCACAATCGTTCGAACTAACATGTTACTGGGAAGTTTGGATTTGTTTAACTGCTTGGGGGAGTTGACGCCCACAAACGTACACGGCCAAATATAGGTATTTACGACCATACTCGCGAGTGGCCGAGACCGGGTTTTGTTGTATTGGCAGTTCGTGCCAGGAAGTGTTTCCGGTCCCCAAAAAGCCGCGGAGTAGAGATTGTGGCAGACTTTTATAGTTGTCCTGTATTTGGTTATCAAAGTTGCTGGGCGGTAACTCCCGCAGTCCTCATCAGCGGTTTTTGCACGAAGTACGGTGCAAACGGATGGCGCTTAAGCGCGTCGCTTCAAGAAATGAACGACCAAATTGGCCGGTGCTTGCCAACTTGCAGGCGGTTACGATGAGTGGAAGGGGGGACTGGCCGCGCAATTTAAATGACCACCGCAAATGGCCAATTACTGTTAAGCCACAAGGCATTTTGCCGTACTAAAGTCATTTTTCAATATCTCTTCACTAGGTATCTTAGACTTTGCTGCCTTGGCTATAGCCCCGCCCGGATACCTCCACGGTGGGGTTTGTCCATGGGCAATCCTGCTGTACGACATGCTACCCATCGTGCTATGTTGTAAGCGCGTTGTCTGCATGTTCACTGCTTTTAGGCGTGATGTTGATAGTTGGAATGGACACGACGTCGCATGTGCGTTACGTCTCGAGTTGCTTAAGTGTTGCGCTCTAACCTCGGCCTAAAAGTGTAACCGAGCCGTAAGCCTAAGGGTGACTCAGACACGGACTGGCCACCGAGTTTCGTGTGAGTGTGTGTACGCTAGCGGAGGTTACTACACAGTCAGAATGGTATGACTGGTTTGCCTATATGAACCCGTCTATAGGACGCTAATAACCGCCCTGGCAAGACTCCGGCCACTGCCGTTTCTATTCCCGAATATGAAGTTGTTCCTTGTGCATGTTGTCGGGCACAAAAAGATGACACTTGAGTGATCCTTAATATTCGCTGCAAATCAGCAGGTCAGCCCCAGCTCCATAGCGATTGCGGAAGTCACACCCCACAATCACCCTGACAGCTCGGCCAGCGCTTGAGCCAGCAGCCCGTACTACATGTACACCAAGTATCTTGGTATAAAATTACGCCAAAAGGCCAAACGGTAAGGCAGGAAGGGAGAAGGAACACTATATTCGGTGGACGCGGGGTTTCTCCGTTCGTACTGTGATCGGTGCGCACACATTTGCGCACAGTTGGTGCGCGTGTGATAAAGAGTTCACTGCAAAACGTTTACCATACGTAAGCGTTCGATACTAACTGCACCTTTACTTGTTTTCTGTGGTTGGGATTTTCCACGAAACCATAAAAAAATATTTGTGCTTTGTTGCCAAATGCTTGCTAATGAGCTAATTGTCAGCGTTGCGCCTGACAAATATGAGCCCCCTGTGGCTCTGGTGTTTGCAACGCTTTGGATCTATGCTTTGGATCTATATTGCCCTACATGAGGTTCTGAAATCCGTACTCTGTCCTTAGGCCTTTCTGAACGTCCATATAAATATGGTGTACATGAATTCATAAATAAATACTTCGCCATAATGGCCGCCTCATTCTTGGGGCTGAACACATCCCATCTTTCACTGAACAAGGAACCAACACCTTATCATGGCATGAACAAGGCGAGGACCCAGTGTGCAGTATCTGTCCAATGCCACACGACGTAACCAGCCGATGGACTGAGATCTTTGGGACGGTAGCTTGGCGATTTCTTGTTGCAGCCGGAATATCTGCCAATATTATACCCGGCCTAGCAATACCTTGGTTCCATCGTTAGTGCTTCATGACCGCTTCGTAACATCGGGTCAAAGAGCGTCCACTCACGACGTGTCGCAAACGTTACTACATATGCGCAATGCTTGCAACAAAAACATAAAACGCTACTCGCACCAGCCTCCTGCACAGTATGACGCCGATTCCAACGTCGTAGGACCCTTTCATGTGTTTCAATAGTTTTAGGCTGCCTATGAGACGGCGCCCTGACGCCCAAACACGGCGCACCCTTGCCTGGCCAACCGTCTGGGCCATCTCTGGGCCCCGGGGCGATCCAGACGCGCCTGCATTGACGAGGCCGAACCCAGCTCCCATGGCCATAAACAATTAAGCATACGTTACAATCCGCATCTGCAGTTGCCATAACAACAGCAATCTTGGCAACAATGCGCTGAGGCGGGGCGCACTGGCAGTGTTGTGTACTTTCTACTGCTTTCCATAGCACCTCTGGGCCGCGACCTTAGCCTCTCCAGGCGCACTGTCCCCCGGGCGGCTGGACTGCGCGCACGAAGCGCCGCCGCTGGCTCAAATCCATTGCTGCAGCGAGCGCCATCGATGCAGCCAGAATCAACCCCACAGTGATGGCAACCTGCAGCATAGACCACATGTCGCGGGTGTTGCTGGCGGTGAACCCGCTGTCCGGGGAACCAAACAGCATCCACAGCAGGACCGCGTCCAGCGCCCAGCAGATACGGTACGACCGGAGGCGGCCCTGCGGGAAACATGCATGCGACGCGGGACAAAAGGACGTGTACGGAGGGTCATTACTGCCGTGCTCCGCCAGCTTCCCCTCCTCCTGGCGTCATGGAATGGGCCTTCTTGTCCTCACAGGAGGTGGGGATCAAAAGAGGTACCGCCCACAGCCTGCACATGCGCCTGCTGAATGGGATGGCGCGCTCGCTTCACGTTTTGCCCTTGCCTTGAGGAATATAGCTAAGTCCCGAAAATATTTAGTTACAGGGGAACACAAAAGGAGCGTTTGGGTCCGCTGGTGCTAACGATGAAGCGGAAGTCGTGTCGCGGCGTAATGGGGGTATCAGCGCGCGTACATTCAGGTCCCCAAGTTCCTTATATGCAAATGTGATTCGCGTGTGGCGTCCAGGCGTGTGGCGTTTTGCTATTTCCCGTGCGACGATGGCATCCGATCATGCCTTTGCCTCTCTTTCCCTTGGCAAGCTTTGCATCCCATCGTATGCATCTCATCCCCCTCCTCCACAAGCGCCGGGTCGCGCCCCGCACTCACGCTGTACGACACTGGTTGCACCAGGACCAGCAATGTGGCCAGCAGCTTTAATAGCGGCGCAGCCGTGTCCCCTGATGTGTCTGCCGTACACCGCCCGTACACATAGAGCAGCGCCAGGATAGCGACGTTGATAAAGCGGACGAGCACGTCCCGCCTCCTGTGTTCATGCCACGCATTCAGGAACGCACAACGCTGTCGACCGACCCACCGACCCACCTGTCATAACATGCTCAAGTACAGTCAAGGTTTACCGCGGGGGGGGGGAGGGGGGAAGGTGTCCGCTGAATGAGACCCAAAGATACCCCTAGGACAGCGCTAGGCAGGTCCTAGGGGTATTATCCTTGCATCCGTTCATTCGTCACGCGTGTACCCCTTGGTGCTCTTGCAGCCGCTCATTTCACGTGCTCTGCTCATGTGTGTGCGCTGGGAAGAAGCCACATACAGCCTTTGAACTCATGTGCATAAGATACCTGATACTGGATTTGTTCGCCCGGCTAGCCCGGCCCGGCCCGTCAACAGAAACGAAAGCAGATGCCAGTTGCTCACCCCTGGTCACCCCTGGTCAGCGCTCACCCCGCATGAGGTCAGGCACAAGGCAGGCAACCATGCACCACAATTGCTGCTGCACCACGGCACTGGGCCTTACCACAGCTGGATGGGGGTGTGCGCCTGCCGAATCCAGGTCACGAGGCCCAACAGAAGTGCGGGCAGCGCCACAGCCCAGCCCAGCACCCGCACCGCAAGATGTACACCCCACGCTGGACGCCGCAGCCCCCCCACGCCGCCACTGCCGCCGCTGGAGCCGTCACTGTCACGGCCACGGTCTGCACCGATCCCAGCGCCGACGCCGCCCAAGATAGCGCCGACGCCGCCGTTAACGCCGTCCCACCGAAACCGCGATAAGCTCAGCCAAGCCCACAGCGCCTGCACCACCGCAGAAACCCCGGACTGGGGTACCCGCAGGCCGAACGCGACTGCAGCCGCAACAGCAGTAGCTGCTGCTGCTGCTGCTGCGGAACCGCGGATGGGGCCATTCTGCTCGTACAGATAGCCCTCGAAACGCGCCTCGGTCTGCGGGTCAAAGCCTTGAAGCACGGATCGCCATGTAGCTGCACCAAGCGGCGGTACTACCGGCGCGTCAACGATGCGCGCACGGCCTTGCGTTCCAACGCCACTGCCGCCGCTAGTAATCCTGGCTTCAGTGGCGCTGCATGTCGGTAGCTTTGCGCGGCGAATAACCGGACGCTGCGCATCTGAAGCTTCGGCAGGCGCTTCACCGCCATCCTCCTCCTCATGTGACCTGCTGCTCGTCCCTGGCTTTGCCGGACGGGCCGCCGCTGCATCGGCGGGGCGTGTAATGGTAAGCTCGCGCGCCTCAGCATCCCTCTCCTCAGCAGGTCTCTCCAGCTGCCAAAACTGCTTTCCCTGCAGGAGTCTCTGGACCGCCTCCTCGCCCTCCACATCACCACTCCGAACCTCCACCCCAGCATCCCGCACCTCCTCAAGCAGGTAATGCAGTGTAGCCGTAAGGCCTATCTGGGTCAGGTACGACACCAGGGCGACACCCAGCTGCTGCAGCTCGGTGATTCGGCCATCTTGGGCCGCCCCTGTGTCGTCACTGCGGCGCATCGCGCTGCACCTGGCAACCTCCGCCTCTTCCTCTACATCCTCTTCCTCCTCTACCAGCCTCTCGCAGCCCAGCAGCAGGGATACCATGTCGGACACCAGTACTGAAAAATGGTGCGTGAATGCGTGGGCACGAGCGACCCGTGGGTCGGTAGTGCGGCGAGGGCCGGTGGCGGCGGCTGAATCAGCCATCCCGCGCATGAGACCGCACAGCTCCTCCGCCACCGCGGGCGGCGCCACCACAATGGGGATGTACACCAGGGCGGCGCAGGGGCTCTGGAGCGCAGCAATGCCCTCCTCACGCCCGCCCTCGTGCGCCGCCACCCTGGTCGACGACTCCCCACTTCGCATCCCCTGCTGCTGCTGCTGCTGCCGTTCTGGCTCCTGCCTGATTGGCAGCACCAGAAGCGCCGCACTGCCTTCTTCCAAGCCAGAGAGGTCCAGGCTGCGGACGGGATCGTGGGAATATGTCGCGGGGAAGACGTCTCCTAGATTGGCAATACGCAGCGGTGCATGTGGGGATGGGTCGCCAGGGGATGGGCTCTCATCCTGGCAAAGCATCAGACGTGCACACGTGCATGCGGATGGCGTGGTGCCCGTGGCGGTTGCGCTTACTCCATATACCTATCATTGGCCTCATCCTCCATTGGCCCTTTTCGCACCTGACACTGGCCCCCCTGCTCCGCCCCACGCTCAGTCGCTCCACCTCTGCCACCACCACACCGTGCTGCTTCACCACCACTCGAACGTCCACGGAGGAGAAAGGGACATGGTTGAAGGAAAGAGGAGCAGCATTATGACGAGCCGCCAATGATGATGGCGGGTCCCCAGAGATATCGGCGCCGCCACCGGCTTGCACCTTCAGCGCATCCTCGTCCAGGAAGATATCGAGGCGCACGCAGCCAGGACCAGTCGGCTGCATACCAGCACCAGCAGCTAGGCTGTCCCTAGGTGACTCGTGCCATGGCGGCCGCAGCTGGCGTTGATGCTGTGTCCCCCCGGGCCCTATGGACCCTACTGGGCGGGGTGAGGCCAGCTGCCGCGCGTCCAGCAGGGCCCTTGGTGGCGGCGGTGGCGACAGGGACCGGGGCAGCTCCTGGGGCCGTCGTGGGATGTCACGTGCTGGTGAAGTTGGCGTTGCAGAAGCAGCAGCAGCAAAAGCAGCAGCAGCACGCGACGTGGACCACGTGACCCCTACTTCCCCTCCGCCGCCATGTACGGCAGCACCTGTGGGGGAAGTAGCAGCAGCAGTAGCAGCAGCACCACCACCAGCCGATGGCGACAGCGGAGGTGGCAGCACACTACGGCTTGAACGTGTGTGGTCGAATGCGGAATCGAAGTCATCGTCGTCGAGGTCGTCAGCCGCCGCAGCGGGGGGCTGGACGAATGGCGATGCCACAACACCACCATCAGACCCGACCCCGCTGACGATGTCCCTCCGGTTGCTGCTGCTGTCAGCATGCCGTCGGAATATTGTGGTCGCTGCCGTTTCTGGGTTCTGCTTGTCCAGCAGTTGCGGCTGCTGCTCCGGCTCCGGGTGTTCATGTCTCTCCTGCTGAGTCCTTCCAGCCCTCTCCCGCTGCTGGTGCTGGAGCTGCTGCTGCTGCAGAAACGTGGTCGCATCTGTCTGTCGGTGCTCGTGCTGATACTGATCGCCACCGCCTGCGTCCCCGGCATTGACGGCCCCTGCAAAGCTGCTGAAGGTTTCGCCCTCATCACTGACAGCACTGGCGGCGGCCGTACAGCAACGACCCTTAAAGATTCGCGCATCGCATGTAGTTGCGCGGTTAACCCGACGCCGGCGGCCGCGTACGACACCGTCAGCCACGTCCGCCGACGCCGGCGCTGCGGCGCGAACGGGGCTGGCACCGCGCAGCGACGCTGCCGCTGACGCGGTGCGCTCGGGCAGCACCGCCGACAGCGGCGGGGCGCGAAAGGACGCAGAGGCCGCCGTCATGGTCCCCACCGACGCCGACACGTCGCTCGGCGGGCGCCGTAACGACATGGTCAGCGGCGATGGGAACGGAGACAGCAGCAGCGCCTCGCTCGCGCTGCCATACCTGCTGCCACCACCACCACCTCCGAAGCTGCCCCTCCTGTCCAGGACAATCCGCTCCGCGGTACTCCGCCGGCTCACAATCCAGCTGCCGCCCTGCCGGCCCTCGCCCAGGGCATCGGAAGCGGAAGCTCCGTCGCCACTGGTTGGGTTGGCCACTGGAAACAGGTACGGCGATCCAACGGGGGACCTCCGTGTTGTGGATATCACCGGCGGGTCAATGTACAGCACCACTGGGACTGCGCGGATAGCGCGAGGGGGGAGCGAGGCGGTGGCTGCGGTGGTGGCGGCCGCAGCGGTGGTGGGAGCGGGGCCAGGAGGAGGGCAGGGGTCGGCGGGAGGGCCCTGGTGGTCTGGTGGTGCGGTGCCGGCGGAGGGCTCCAGCGCCCGGTGCACAGCAGCTTCCGTCGCTCCGGAGGGTAGGGGTGTAGGCGGTGTAGGAGCCGACACCACCGGTGACCAAAAGACCTTTTGCGACACATCGTTTCCGGAGCCACAGCCAGTCCGGGGTCAGCACCCGATAGAGGCAAGAGAGATCAAGTCTGTTTAATACAAGTCTATATGTAACAGGAACGAGGTTGCCTCAGTTGCTGTATATCGAGAGACAGAAGTCACAACGTGAAGGAGAGATTAGAGTACAAGCTGCAGCAGTAGCAGTAACAGCATTTGCAGAAGTAGCAGTAGCCGTAGCAGCAGCTTTTGCAAAAGACGTTAAGCAAGGCGCGGGAACCAGCCCGAGAACGCTACTGCTTTCCTGTGCAGCTACCACCCACCCACCCACCCACCCACCCAGCCCCTACCGGCTGCTCCGGCGCCAGAGCTTCAAAAGGTCCGAGAACGGGTGATGATGTCCATGGCGCCGGACCGGCCGGACCGGCGCCTACATCGCCGTCCGCACCGCCCGCTGCTCCAGCTGCCGCCCTGCCGCCTCCATCCATCTGCCTCCGCAGCTCAAGGTGCAGCGCCTCCAGCCTGGCGGCCACCTCGCGCTCGCCAAACTCCTTGTCGCTCTCGTACTGGACACGTGTGGACACACAAATGAAAGTGCGGGGCGATGCGAATGGGTGGCAACTGTGATGGTACTTCTGTGTATGACCTTTGTTCTGTACGACATGACGCAACAGCAAGTTGTGGCAGCAGGCGCCGCATCTGCCCCGTGTATCACCCCCTGGCGGGGTGCCCACCCCCCCCCCTGTAGTCGACCAACGATGCAACCAAACGCCAGGCGATAAGGGGTAGTGTGGCCAGCTGCCGGACCAGCTGCCGGACTAGCTGCCGGACCAGCTGCCGGACCAGCTGCCGGACCAGCTGCCGGACCAGCTGCCGGACCAGCTGCCGGACCAGCTGCCGGACCAGGGTGATCAGAACAAGTCACGGACATGCACATGCCAGTGACGCGGTAACCAGGCGGGGGAAAGGCTGGAGGCGTGCGGCGTCAGCTAACTGGACCTGTAGCTTACGGAGCTTGCAACAGGCGAGACGGTGACGGATAGTGCTGTGAGCGTTACGACGTAGTCTATACATATCTACACATATCTATAGATACATATCTAAACATATCTAAACATATCTAAACATATCAAGCAGCGATGCAGGTGGCCCGCGTGCGAAGCATTCGCCCTCCGAGCCCACCCCACCCCGCAAGTGCCCTCTGCCCCATCTGGTGCTGGTCCCCACCTGCACACGGAGTATCAACTCGAGGCACCCCGGAAGGCACTGCATCTGGGCAGTGTAGCCCCGCCAGCGGGCGCGAGCCCGTGGCCGTGCTGCACCGCCGGCTGCCCCAAGCAGCAGCGCATTGCCGCTGCTGCCGCCGCCACCCTCCTCGCCTACGACCGTAGTGTTGTTGAGCGCATCCTCAATAGTCCGGTGCGCCGCCGCCAGGAGGGTGGCTTCCAGCGCCGCATACGGCGCACCGGGGCGGGTCGCCAACTGGGGCATCAAGCAGGGGGGGAGATTAGGCGTTAGGCATATGCTGAGAGGTGGCCGTGTGACAGTGTGACAGTGCACTTTGCTGCTGCAAGGCAGGCAGGCAGCGTCATCACCGGCGCCCATGTCGTCCAGGATCCAAGCAAGCCGTGCCGTACAGGCACCCGGAAGCCCCAGGTAGGCAGCGTTCTGCTGCTCTCCTGGCTCGCCACGGAGACCGGGACGCCGTGGGGCATCCTAACATTCTAAGTCAGGGTGATGCTCAGGGTAAGAAAAGGAGTTTAATATTATACCATTTTATTTTTACGATGTGTCGCGACGAGTGTTAGAAGAGAGTATAAAATTTGTGGGGGTGTTTGCTATATCGGCGTAACGCCCGCCTGCTCCGTGTCCTTCGCCTGCCCTACATCAACATGAAGTTGGAAGGCAGGTGGGTAGTGTAGGGGCGAAGTAAGGCCCAGCCCCCAAGCATTTTCATGTTGTATACAAACCTTGATTGAGACGGATATATGTCGTACGGGTGATCCGTACAGTATAGATTGCCCAGCCACAGGCAGATCGGCGGCGGCGGCGCTTGTTCCGGGGCTGGCAAGAGCTTCAGGTACGGCTGCGGTGCCCGTACGGGGCTGTAAGTCCAGGCTGAGACGTCCCACGGGGGCTGCTGCTGCTGCAGCGGCGGCGGCGGTGCGTCTGACTCGCGAGCCCAAGCCAGCTGGGCGGACTGCCTGCGGCCATCCGACACGGAGCTCTCCGGCTGCAGGAATTGCTCTGTGCCACGGAGGAAGCCGCATCACTCCGCCCCCCGTCTCTCCCCCGCCCTCAGGCGATGAACGGCGGTCTGCTATTACCAGCGCCCTCGCCGCCGCCGCCGCCCTCCCCGCCGCGGCCCCCGCCTCCACGGGGCCCCAACGCGCCGCTGCGCGCCCCTCCGTGGCCACGAATCCCGAGGGCAGGTGTCGTTGATCTAGTTCCCCACCGGGCTGTTCTACACCAGCTGGCTCGGCCGCACTACCACTACCACTACGATCGCCCGTGAGGCTCTGAACGTCCCTCGCCGACACCGCCGGCGCAGCAGCAGCCGCAGTAAAGGCCTTGCCTGCCGTCGCGACTGCCGCCGGCGCAGCCGCCCCTGGCATATTGCTCCCCTCCTCGCGGGCGCTGCTGCCGCCGGCCGCCTCGGCCGCCGCCGCCGCCGCCGCCGCCGCCATGGATCCCGCGGTGCCACTCGCCGACTGCACCGCGCGGCTCCCACTCGACACCTCCGAGATTGCCGTACATAGTCCGGCGTACGACGATGGGGCGCTCAACGCCGTCGGCTGCTGCCCCTGCCGCCGCCCCTGGCCCTGCTGCGAATCGCGCAGCTGTCTTACATGCTGCTCCTGCTGCTGCTCCTGCTGCACCTCCTGCATGTGGACCCGCTCCCACGGTTGATCTGTGCGGCTCAGCCCCAGCCCCAGCCCCGAGCTGCGGGACACAAGTCCGGAAGGCGCCCAGCCGAGGAAGGAGGTCCACGGCGTGGGGGCGGAGGGCTCGCTGGTGGAGGCGCCTCCGCCGAATCCCATGGGTCTGCCGGAGTGCCCACTTGAGGCGGCCTCCGGGCTGAAGCCACTTCCGCGGCAGGAAGCAGGGATGGAGCCAGGTGAGGAGCGACCCACGGGTCGTCGGGCTGCCTCGCCGCCCCGCTCCGCTGGCTGCTGCCCGCCCGGAGTCGTCATGGCGGGGTCTCCGGATGGGGGGCCCCTTCGGGTGACGAGGAGATGAGGAAAAGGGCAGGTAGGGAGGCACCGTTCGTTAATGTGTGGAATGGCTCGGCAGCAGTGGGGCCGTAATGACGTAGCTGTTTCGGCTTTCGACTTTCGACAAGTCCAGCACAGCCATAGATAACATATGCTGACCAGGAACTAAGTTGACGCGCCGTTGATCCGCTAGATTTGGTTGGATGCTGGTGGTGAGTTGCCAAACTCAAAGAGTACACTCTGAAGTCGGATGGGGTGAATGGATTAGGGTGCCCCTCTAGCAGGGGAGAGCAGGGAACTGCCTCGGGAAGGAGGCCACTGGTGAAGCTTAACCACCCTGTAACAACATCAACATATTTCGCAAATCCCTTGACGCCCAAGAACCCTCTTCAAGTCGCCGTTGGCGCACACCGGCCCTTCACCTCCTTGCACAGACCTTACCCAGGCCTGCAGCTCGCTGCGGTGCTGCCGCCCTGCGCCGCCCCAGCCGCGCCGCTTAGATCCGCCGCCTCAACACTGGCCGCATGGCGCCCCTGGGCTCGGCCGGCGCCGACGCCGCCATAGACGCTGCTGTTATCCCCCAATGACGACGAAGACGACGCCGACGCCTGTGACACCGCAGCAGCAGCACCGGCGCTATCCCACGAGGCTCTGAGAGGAGTAGGGGGGTGGCCGCCTGCCAATGCCGTCCGCGTCAGATCGCCAAGCTGCAGGCCGCCGCGCAGGGGCTGTGTCGCCGGGGGAGCCAGAACCACCCTCTGGGCGCCCCGCCGTGATGATGGTGGGTGCAGCAAGTGCGCCGATCCCGATCTCAGTCCTGCTGGCGGAAGCGGGGGCGGGGGCGGGGGCAGGGGCGGGGGAACCTTAACCCGGGTTGCCCACAAGCGGTGCGGCAGTACGGGGACTGGAAGGGCTCCAGGGAGACCGCACTCGTGAAACACCTAACATACGGACACATACGGACACATACGGACACACACTACTGGAAAGGGCACTTTGGGGACCTCGGCGGGTTCCTGGCAAACTCTTGCCGGCTACACACGTCCATGCGTCACTATATCCAAACGTCCACCGCCGCGCCGACTACTTGCCGAGAAGCGAGAGCTGCTCGCTCGGTCACTCGACTCACCTGTCGATACGTGCTCTTCGCTGGATGTACGGGGGCCGTACATGCAAACGGGCGATGCCGGCCTGCCAATGCTCGTACCGAAAACACACACGGGGAGGGTAGGGTTTCAGAGCCGCGGGTGGAGGGGATCTCAAGTTGGCATCCCGGAGGTGGCGTGTTGGGAAGGGCTGGTCGCAGGAGACAAATAATGGGTATGTATGTACGTATGTACGCCTCGATGCAACTCTAAGGGCTACAGGACGGCTGCGAAGGTGGCAGCGTGGGCTGCGCAACCCTGCTTGGTGTCCGAGTGGGAAACAGCCGCACGTGTGTAGCCCGTCACACCCGTCGCGCCTTCATGCCGCAGCGGGTAGCCGCGGTTCATGGATAGACGGGCGAGTGGACCCTGGCATCGCGAAGCGCGGTTCATCGCTTTAGGGGAACAGTTTAAGCGCAACAATCTGATAGCAACATACAACCAGCACCACATCCACGCTCTCACAATTCATGTATTTTTGCCGATTCTTCTGTTAGGCGTTTTACGCGAGCTCGTAATTGTTATCGGATTTCCAAGTAATCATTATTCGGTTTCGGTGCATCTCCCCGCGCAGTCCTCCTCCTGGCTCCAGTTTCACGCTACCCACCTGCGACCGGGAGTGCCATCATCGCTGGGACCTCGGCTCGCTGTGCCTTGGTGCTGCCCGACGACTGCCCAGGCGGGCCGCCAGTCTGGGTCGGCCTGCGGTGCCGTAAGGACCGAGCGCGTTTTGACGTGTTGTGGCGCGTAGAGGAGAATGGCTATGCGTGGCTTCAATCTTTTCGGAACTCCATTCGAGAGTCGACATGTGCGCGTGACGCGTGTTGGAGTGCGTGCATCATGTGTCGGGTGCCGTCACACGTTCGACGACAGACCTTGATTTTGAAAACTGTGGCCAGCACCGCGCGGTTGGAAAGCACGCTGCGACGGCCAGCTTTTTTAAAAAGCTGCTGATGCGCTGATCAAACCCTTATCGCGGAATCTGGCAGTGCCAAAAAAATCTAACTACCGATTTAATCTGGAGAAGAGGTGCCTCACATTTAGTAGCCACCTCAGCGCAGCTTCAAGATACAGCATCAAAGACCCTAGAAGCATAGCCACCAGGCCTCCTCCAAACGCTGCCACCAGCAATCCAGCATCAGCACCAGACAGCGTCGGCATTTGTGATGTTGCCTTGTCAGCAGCTGTGTATACGTTCGCTGAGACTGGGAGCGGATTGACCAGAGGTGTTGAAGTCTGCAACGTCGTTGAATAATCCTTAGTCCTAAAGTAGCAGAGCCTGGCCACCACGGGCTCGATGATCTGAAGCGCCAGCGCGGCCCCGACGATGCCGACGAGCGCGCGAGAAAACGTTTCCCATGACAGCAAATGCTTGACCTGCGCAAACAGAGAAGTTACCTGTCTTCACCCGCTTGCAAACAGCCTCAAACTTTGTTCAAACTCTTTGTTGTTGTAACCAAATTCATACATGAGCAGCTCGAAGCCACAAAACTCGCTGTTCGCGGCGCATGGCGCCTTCCTTACGTGAACACAAAATCCAAATGACCCAGGGGTCCAATCCCCATCATCCAACGCGCCATCTCACCCGTTGACTGGACAGTAACGCCAGCAAGACAACGCCATGCCACTGCAGTGCGTAAAGAAGCGGGCTACGCGGCGCGATAGGCGGCTTGCCCCTCAGCGAAAGGGCCTCGCAGAGCAGCAGCAGGCCCGCGCAGCCCCCGTGGGCCGCCGCAGCGGAGCGAAGCACCTCGCGATTGCCTCCGGATGCAGTCAGCAGCGCCAAAGGCCACATGGCAGAGAGCAGGAGGAGCGTGGGACGCGGCGAGGGATGACAGTCACAGCCACCACCGCGTGGTAGTGCAAGGCGGAGGCACAGCGGCAATGTGATGCGCGCGAGGCTGGAAATCAGGCCGGGCGCGACGGTGGCGGCCATTGCCCACGTTGGACCGCTTTGCTGAGGCCAGCGCTTGCGCTCAGGATGCAATTTAAAAGATCCTTTCCTCTTAACGTCCTCTTGTTGAGCTTATTATGATGGGCTCTTCTGTTTGGGGATAGAAAGGGGAGAACAAAATATCAAGTATGAAGATCCCCTAGAGAGAGAATACATGCCTAGCGGACGCAGCGGGATGCAGGCAGAAAAGCATTAGGCTCGTCGCTTCCATCACCCTCACCATTATCACTGCTACCACTGTCCATCACTACCACGAGCAGCATAACACTCCTTCAAAACATCCGCATTTCGCTGTCAACGAACGTAAAGAGCGTCGCAGTAACCAGAAGCAAATTACCCTTCAATGCTCCATGGCCTGTCGACATCATGGGCCGCTCTGCACTCATGCGTCGCACAGTTTTGGGAACCGTTTTTTTGGCACGAGAACAGCAAGCGTCCGGCCCCCCGTTTGCGGTCAGTAAACAATCCTGCAGCATTTGTCTTCTCCCAGACTATCCGTCTATTTTCTGGTATCTGCTTCCCTCGCCAGTGGTTCGTTTTACCCTTGTTTGCAGCGCCTCAGGCAGTCCCAAATACCGGGATACCAAAGATGCGTCCGCGGCGCTCGAACCGAACCTTCACCCCAGCGGCTGTGGCCGCTTATGTGTACAGCCCTAGACAGACCCGACAAGCAGGCAGGACGGTGTACGTGGTAACGCTGTGCACGCAGGGGCTTCGAGCGCCCGCGTGGTCGCAACGGGGTCCAGTTGGCCGCGACCAGCTGCTGGCCCCCTCGTGCCCTGTGGTCTGTTTTCCCTCCTGCTGGTGTAACGTGGGCCGAGCGGATGACCAGTAGGGCTGGCGGGGGAAGGGGAGAGCAATACACAGCACGTGATAGGACGGGCAGAATGCCCACCTGCAGGGAGCAGCACTGCTAGGTGCACTTGGACTGGGTCCAGATGGTCGGTGATGGCCGTGACTAAGTAATCGTTACCTAAGCGCGGCAGGAGGGAATCGACTAGAGCTTGTAGAAAGCAAGTTAGGTTCTGAACGGTAGCCTGTCGGCATGTTTGTTAGTTGGTTGGTCCCTATGACATCCGATCACAGGGACATCTATTCTAACTGAGCACTCCTGCAGTTCGGAATCTGACACGAATCTGACACGAATCTGATACGAATCTGGCACGAATCAGGGAATTCTCCCTACACTATCACCTTTGGCCTGTGATCCATCCGACCTGC